TATCCTTCTACGGTTGTTTTGTTAGTGACATTAATGATATTTGTCTCAAATCTAAACCCAAATACACCCTCCACCAAACCCTCTTATATCTACTCTGAAACACATTTCTTTCTACCAGCATACATTCTATGAAATCTTTCATTACACAATTTGTTTCTCTCCTCTGAATTATTATTTTCCCCAAGCTGCTTTCATGGTAGTTTGGAGCTGGCTAGACGTGCCTTTTTATAACACTTTGGTTTTGTTTTCATAAAAAGTACTTGTATTCATGGAACAGGATTGACCAGAAAACAGACAAAGACTGAAGAAGTTTCTTAACCCTGGCATTTTCATTCAAGAAACACAGGGTCATCCTTTCGAAAGTATGTTTTCCATAACTTAAATAACTGGAAATAGTTTCTTATGCTTGGCTATACCATCCTACCTTTCTCCTGACTGTAAGCAGAAAACTCCAAATGACACAGAAGTATAACCACTTAAAGTTTAATTGTCATCAGCTTTCAAATAAACAAAGCACTGAGCAGATCTATAAAGTAACTAGACCTGTTTGATAAGAATTAGGCTCCACATTAATGCACACTAAAATGTCAGACATCATATACCTTCTGGAATGTTTCAATGAGAAGAATGCACATGTATAAGATCAAAAACTTAATTAACTCCTTACCCATAAACACAGACTAAAGGACAAGGATGATGACTTTCAGAAATTATCAACCTTATCATAACATTACAGATGTGCACAAAAGACTTTTGTTCAGAAAAGCTGTGAAAAGCTGTTAAGAGCTAAGAAAATGGTGCAAATGTCATTGAATTTTCCACAATGAAAGTGAACTGTGACTGCCGCTGCTGTTCGTCTTGGTCTGACTTTGCCTTTTCTTTCTCTTTGAATTCTAATTTTTCATTTGAAAGACGATATTTGACGACAACTAAATCCCAAGAAAATGAGCTGTGTAGTTTGACCCTGTATTTACCACTAAAGATTACAAGAATAGGGATGATATTAAATGAAAGAATTCTTAACTGCTAAGTGTGTGATCTGGATCATAGTTATGAAATCATCTTCAGAAACAGCATTCTGATTTCAAAATCGGCTGTGCCATATTCAATTAAATTTTCAATCATTACTGTTAGCTTGCCAAAATATATAACGTTAGTTTACAAACTTCAAGAAATGGATTCCAGTTAGGTAACCCATGTCATGGCGGTGACACCATTCCACAGAAACAGCTACCACAATACATAACCCTATAATAATTTACCTCTTTCATAGAAACCGCTTCAATAATACTTTACCCACTTAACAGAAACAGCTTCAATAACAATTTATGTAAATCACGGAATCAGCCTCAAAACTAATTTATCCACTTCATCATAACTTCAATAATGATATATTTACTTCACAGAAACAGATTCGATAATAATTTATCCACTTCATGAAAACAGCTTCAACCCTAATTTACCCACTCCATCATAACAACTTCCACAATTTATTTACTTCATGGCAACAGCTTCAACACTAATTTACCCACTTCATGAAACAGCTTCAATTGGCCCGCATTATACAGTTTCAATATTTATTGATCTATTTCATGGAAACAGCTTTAGTGATATTTACCCACTTCATAGAAACAGCTAAATTCAATAATTTACCCATTACAACAATAATTTACCCTCTGAAAGCACCAGCTTCAGGACTTAAGTTTACATTCTTCACAACAAAAGTGTTGCCCAAGAGATACAACAAATACATTATGTTTTGTTTGATATTGGACCAAATCATTTTTCAAATCTGTGGTCCGGTGTGCTATTGTGGAACATTCTCAACATACCACATCCATCTTCCTATCCGTGTCTCAGTGATGCCGATTTGGCCACCATATCTAAAGAGAGCCACAAACTGAATACTGGATACTGACTGATCAACTACACTCATCGTGGTTCAGATGATTTTTGGAAAACAATCATGGCCACAATATTGATTTCTCTTTGTTGACTTGACTTTCTTTTATGAAAAAGGACTGATAATGATAGGTTTGAACCGAGAAGCTTCAGCCATTCTTCTTCCATGTGTCAGCTGAGCGGTCACTCCGAGGAGAAAACATATTCAGGCAGATGGTTAAGAAAATAATTTATTCCAATATCTTTTCAAAATAAAAAGGGTATTATAATATTTTTCCCCTTTACACCAACAAGGGTCAACATGTTTTCAAATATAATACAATACAAATAACAAAATAACCCATCCAAATCATACCAACAGATGGACAGAAATCAATCAGAAATCAAATGTCAGAAATATAAATGTTTCAAGAGGGAGTGAAGCTAAATGCCCAGTTTTGCACACACCACAGAAGAAATATGAAACAAAATCAATGTTAATATTGAACTGCAGTGAATCTAAACATCCTCAGCTTTGAATAGGCAGAGAATTCAATGTTAACCTAAAGTGTATCACAATTCATATGATGTAATGTCTCATGTTCACCAAAATAGCATTTTTTGACATACAACAAAACTACAAACAAAAAACAACATTAGATGTATGTGAGACAATGAATTAACCATAAACATTGTTATAAGAGCTGACATTTAAGAAGAGCTCAAAAAGTGGAATATCAATTTTGTATGTGTATCAACAACACACACAAATATCTCGACTGATACACTATTTCATTATCTGTCCCAAACTACTGAAATATTTATTGTCGACTTTTCGCGTATCTCAATTTAATCCAGTTAAAAGTATATATAAATCTACATTAAAATACTTATTCTCTACAACAATGAAAAGAATTCCCTGATGACAATACTCCAAGTTAACCCTTTACCAATTTCCACCACACATGAGACAACATACAGTGGTATAAAACAAATTGAAAAGTTTGATTGAAAATCTCAATTCCTTATCATGAAATAAGTTTGTCAGAAACTGGCAGGAAAATGCCTGAAGCATGACATAACTGACTGTCCCCTGAAGGAATATTTCTTAATTCAGTGCATATCTGATTAGCGTGAATATTAATCCTCAAACAAGGTAACTGAGTTTTTTCATCCTGTTGAATGACAGTTCAAAGTAGCCTGACATCTGTTGAAGATGTAAGTGAACATGAATATTAGACAAGATGGAGAAACCAGTGACTCCAACCCTGATTCAGCAGCCACTGGTCAGATTACATCATCAACAGTATCACTGGGAAGCTGTTCAGCTAGGTTACTATCACAGAACAGCACCTGGCTGAAGGTCATCAGCTCAATCCTTTACACTAAACCCCCAACCTTCATGGCTATCACTGCTTAACTCATCTATACAATATGTTAGAAATACATTACAAGCAAAATGCAGCATAAAAATATGGATGGATTCATCCAATAACAAATAGTATCAGTAACATGAGTAGAGGTTTAAAGAACAAAATTAGCTCTAGTGATACCAATAATTGTTACAATGGTAATCTGTGATCACTATTACAAGTTATTAAATAATTACATTACATTACTCAATTAGCCTCTGGCTAAACCTGAGTGCCTTAACTGTTCTTCTGGCATATCATTAATCAAATTACCAGAAGCATTATTGTTTATATATGGAGTCATACTTTACAGGTTGTTTCTGATTAACTACCACCGAGTTCTATCATACATGACCTATCCACAACCTTGTCCGTAATCTTGAACAGAGATAGTTGATAAAACATAATAACCAAAAAATGCTTCACTAAATATTCAGACAAAAGTATCAAAATGCCAGCCTGATTGTAAACGAACAAATGCATCAATATAATTAATAATAATTTTACATTTAATGCATTAATCTGATCTGGTGACAAACAGAAAATTCAAACTGCAAAAGATGATTAAATCATAAATTATGGTGCAAACATTTTTGTTGTAAAATATCTAATAATTTATTCACTAAGATTCAAATTTGAAAATGTCAAAAAATATTACTTAAAACAGTAAACTAAATTGTATAAATTAAATCCAACAAAGCAAAATTCATAGGATGTAAATACATATTCATTACCTGCCTGACAATATCCCTCTCCTTTTCTACAAAACTTTGCTTACCACTGATTTGAGAAGATGTGATTAAATCTGTTCTGCTAGCCCATCTTTTGCCTCCACTGTCACGTTTACCTGCTCAAGCATGACTGATTGTAATGGTTCAGGCGTGATACCAAACAAGTGATACATATACTCTAAACAACTGTACAGCCCTAATACCAACAAGTTTCCTATAAACATGCCCTAACAATAGAGTCACAGACGACAGCTGAGCTGTCTTTTGTTCTACTGTAAGTATTGAGGCAAAAGGGGATAGCAATAACACACAACCTCTCAAAGCATTGACTGGTAAATCACATCATCACCTTGCCATACAAAAGGATGTTCCATAAATAACTTTATTGGGTGGCCTTTAAACAGGGAGATATCCTCCTCCAGTCCGCGACCTAATAAACCTCATCACGTTATTTTCCCCTTCGCTGATATTTGGTCTACCAATTCTTATACAAAGTATGCGAGAAGCTAAACACTACACCGCAATACGATGACATCATCTAGGTTACAGCTGCTGAGGCCAATTCGGATAATTTGCTCTGCGGCCCACTTGCCTTATTCAGTGAAGGCTCCCTCCTCCCTCACCCCTCCGCCGCCGCTATCCCACATCACCGATATTGTCTGTGGAGACAGACTTCCAAACTTTTGAAACTTCCCGCACTAAGTCCCAAAAAGTTGTGAGATACCACGAGTAAATGAATTAAAGGGTATAGAAAATGTATTTTCGCTTGATTTCGCCCGCTGCAGCATCCTTCGCAGACAAAGAGCGCTGATCTAGAATCGCCATATTGATTATTAACGATATTTTATCAATAGGATCAACGCCATTTAAAGACCCGAAACTCGTGTGCCAGCGATAGGATGGAATCACCAAGTTGACGATAGCTCTACCTATATAAATACCACCAAAAGCATGCTAAAAGTCTTGCAAAACATACCTGTAACTCTTGCAAATCAAAGTTTCGCCAATACTGACACATCGACTGCACATTCGCAGCCATCTTGAACGGGATTATACTCAATCGATTGATCACATGACTGGCTGAGATCGAATATACTCTCCAACCCTTGGCGATGACTTATTTGTTGTCACATGGTTATGCTGAGATCGAACTGTGCCCATCAAATGCTATCCAAATATATATATCCTTCGTGGTCCGGTATATTAGTATATATGTGTTGATTTCAGCTGTGGTTGGGAGGTCTGTGACGAACGCTTCTCTGTCGTGGTCCGAGAGTATTAATCAATATGGCAGCCACCAGCACCTGGCGCACTTCTTTGAATTTACACCAGTTTTGTAAACAACTGAAAGAAAATAACGCTAAAGACTCACTAAAGAAAATAGCATTCGATTCAAAAGAATTGATAGTCACGACTTACGATGGCGATCTTTATGTCTGGGACGCCTACTCATCTCACATGGTCTATTTCCGCCTCAAAAATCTATTACCCGAGGCGAAAGAGAAAGCACATAGATATCAGGTATTCAAGCATTTTGGAGTTTTCTTTAACTCACCCCCGTGTCAGTGACAGTCAATTATCTTAGAATATACGGATAGATCACATGATTATTAATCCTTGATAATAATTTGTTTGTAGTCATCTTCTTGGGAGTGTAAACTCGGCGTTGTTGCTTTTGAAAACAACACAACAGTGACATAAGATAGGCTTGGCACGACACTGCATGTGTTTCTGGCGTGAGCCTTGCCGTCAACATGGTTAGATGAGAAGTGGAGGATATTGTGGAAGTTTATTTACAAAAAATAAGATGCTTTGTTTCTGTGTGTTTCATACATGGCAGTGGAGGAAAGCTTGACACAAGTTTAGGTTCACACTGAAATTAAACAATTCAGCTAATAAGCAGCATTGAAGCAGATTTTTAAAAAAATGAAAATAGAAATATGTTTTTCTACCTTTGATGTTTAACACATTCATTGATCAATATCATAAATTGTGTTTGCATTTATAGATGGTTGTTTCAGTTAGCGACCTTTTCTGTGAAGAAAATATGTTTCGTCTTTTTGTGCTGACAAGCATGACAATTTTCTTTTCTTTAGGACCAAGGCACAATGCATAAAAATTGGATGAAAATTATTAGGGGATAAGACATCTTTGTCTGCTGATGTTGTCTTCAGAGAATAAACATATGATTTTGTTCAGCTGTTTTGATGCCCAGTAATTTCTCTAATAAGCGTTCCTTACCTTGGAAATTGTCCATCACACTGAAACAAGTCAAATATAATGAAAATATTTGCCTTACCTTCCCTACTTCAACAATGCTCTAGTATAATTAAGACTGCTCAATCCTAATCATTGCAGTATCCAACATGTCACATACAGTCAAAACATTGAATTCTCAGTTCGACAACTATAGAGTAGTCATTAATTATACTTGAAATTGTTTATCTTTTATTACAAACAATAAGACAGAGATAGTATAAGTAGACATTTTATTGACATGCTTAATTTCTAACTATTTTTAGCATCATCACTTGAGAACAGTGTTAGCATCTACACCGAAAGGTTGCATCCATTGCAATAAAGAAGTTGTCTATCCATAAAAAAAAATTGCTGTTTAATTGTAGAAAACATTTGACATGTCTCCTCCATGTATAGTTCAGCAAGGAGCTTTCATTATTTTGAATGCAAGGTTCTAAAATATTGAAGTTGAGATTTGTTGAGTTACGTTCATATTTGATCCTCAAACATTTTGTGCCTTTTGATTTTTTGTGACTTATGGAAACCTGTAATGTTAATTCATTTATTTTATCATGCAAGGAAGGTATGCTTGTGAATTATTTTACAGCTATTGTCCAAAAACAAACACTGGAGCATGTTCAGATGCTAATTTGAAGCATAATCAGGTTTGAAATTTATTTAGTATAGATGTCCAGTAATGCTGCGTATTTGAATAAAATATGCATAACTTTCAGGAGCACAGTTACTAAATGCTGGTTGCTGATAAAGTCTAAAAAGTAACTTCAAATAAACATCTGGAATAGAATAATCGCCACTCATGTATTTTATCATATAAAACGGGCATCATTTCCTGTATCCATTATCTTATGAATCCCATCTAAGAATGTCACAGGCCATATTAAATGCAAAAACTAAAATGTATGGTCTAGGTGATCTCATTTAAATATTTGGTAAGACTTACGGGTAAGCCAATATCTCCCCTAAATTTTAATGATGAAGAAATAACCCTAACCCTGAAATTTAATGGGGGGATGTGGGTGGACGTCTTTCCAAATATTTTTTTGATCCTGCCACCCAGTTCTCAGATTGGTTTACCTCATCTATTCCGCTATCCGTTATATGCTAAATAGTATGTTTCAACATTTAAGGTTAACTTTTGAGGTGTCTCGGTTGCTTAAATGTGAAAGAAGTGACTATTCCTTTTCAGTAGAACTATGTACGAGCTGAATTTAGTACCAGAAAGTTATAAATGAGTATCTGTGGTAATGGTATCGATATTCATTTGAAGAGTGAGTGAGTTTAGTTTTACGCCTCACATATTCCAACTATATGACAGCGGTCATTGAAGAATAAATTTCTTCAAAGAACTTTATATGTGTATCATGTCTTCCTAACTGTGAATGATGTAATGACAGTGGTTGATTAGTTTCCTTTTGTTGTTTAATTCCGCAGTCAGCAATTGTCTGACTGTTTGACAGTTGTCTGTAATTATTCAAGTCTGAATTAGACCGCCTCCGTGGTGTAGTGGTTAGAGCGTCCGCCCGGAGAGCGGAAGGTCGCGGGTTCGATGCCCGACCGCGTCATACCAAAAGACGTTAAAATATGGTACTTGTTGGTCCCTGCCTGGCGCTCGACATTAATGGGTACAAGAAGAACTGGTCGGCAGGGGAGTCAGTATAATGTGTCTGAGTGGGGTATTCATATTCATTCACTGCGGCATGATATCTCAGTGGGCTAGCACTATTAAACCAGCTTAAGTCTGGGCTAGTACAAGCAGCCGCACATACACATACACACGCATGCACGTCATCATATGAGCGCAATATTCTCAAGTACGACGTTAAACCCAATTTCACCTCACCTCAAGTCTGAATTAAGTCCAGTGAGTGACATCATGAGCATCGATTATTTGCGATACGACGTTCATCAACCAAGTTGCAAGCCTGAAAACCTAATCCATCTCGCAACAAGCATGGGTCTTCATGGGTCAGTTGATTGTTTTTTCCCTACTTTCAGATTTTACAGTGTACAGACTCTCCCCGCTTTGATGTAGAAGGGCTAGTCCTCAACCAGTCAGCCAGTCACATCATTGTCTGGGGTCTGTCAGGAATTAAGGTAGTGGAGTTGCCACGGCGATATGGCAGATATGGGGAGTTTGAAGGAGGCAAGGACATTGTCTCTTGCAGGTAGGTCATGCCTGTTACCTGATGTTGGAAAGACTGAAACAAATAAGAGTGAAGCATTTGTCACTAATGTCAGGCTCGTAGCAAGCAATTATTTTCGTGTAAGCCCAATAGGTTGCAAAGTTTTATATTTAGATGGTATTGAGGGCTTGCCCAACTTTCATAGCAAAAATCGTGTGTAAGCCCGAGCTTTTTTTTATATGGTAGCTACGCCTCTGTTTGTATAATATGTATTGTATAATACCGATAACAAGTGCAGTCATTGTTCCAACAGTCCATATCAGACTTTCTGCGCTCACTGAGGTTTGGGAGCGATTGGGTATCTTAGTGAGCGGTCGCTCATCACGCCGAAGACTTGAATTCAATTTCCCCAATGCCCTAATGGCTGCAGTGTGTGAAACCCAATTTTTGGTGTTCCCGGGACGGTGGGGTAGCACAATGGTTAAAGCGTTCGCTTGTCACACCATGGGCCCAGGTTCGATTCCTCACATGGGTACATTGTGTGAAACCCATTTCTGGTGTTCCCGGGATGGTGGGGTAGCACAATGGTTAAAGCGTTTGCTTGTCACACCATAGGCCCGGGTTCGATTCCTCACACGGGTACATTGTGTGAAGCCCATTTCTGGTGTCCCCTAGCCGTGATGTTGCTGAAATATTGCTAAAAGCGGCGTAAAACCTTACTAAGGTTTGGGAGGCAACTTTGCATCCATTTGCTGTTCAGAGTTACATCCCTTGGACTCGCCAGAAACCTGTTGTTGTGGGTTAGATTCCTGGTTCACCTGATTCTGTTGCCATTGTTGTCAGTACCACACCCATTCTTGTCAAAGAACTGCATCACTTGGCACTCTCCTGCCACATTAATCTGACAAGCTGTCATAAATCCTGAGTACTGTTCAAAGTGGCCTGGAACCCAACACACAAGTTTTGATTTAATTCCGAGGTTACATTCACATTTATTCAGGGTTACCAAAATGTGCCTCAGGGATGAAACACTGATATATTTCTGCTCATAATTCTTCTGTGAAGATTTATGGGTTTGCTTTATCAAATTTAGAAATGTTCTGTGACAGTGTATAGGATTACAACATAAACTTGTGAAGGGCTAAATTTGAACCTGTTTGTTTTGATTTTATTTTGAGATTTTGGTGAATGAGATGAAACCATTTTCTCTTCAGTCTGGATGTCCATTGCTTTCAGAACCATCCAGATTGCAGAGCGGTACTTCACAAGTCAACAAGGAGTCCGACTCCGTGAGGCAGCATGGCATCCTGGGAGCAGCTCGGACTCTCATATTGTACTTCTGACATCTGACAATGTCCTCAGGTGGGTAGACAATGAACTTCTGATAATGTCCTCAGGTAGGTAGACAATCAACATCTGACAAAGTCCTCAGGTAGGAAGACAATCCACATCTGACAAAGTCCTCATGTAGGAAGACAATCAACATCTGACAAAGTCCTAATGTAGGAAGACAATCAACATCTGACAAAGTCCTCAGGTAGGAAGACAACCAACATCTGACAAAGACCTCATGTAGGAAGACAATCAACATCTGACAAAGTCCTCATGTAGGAAGACAATCAACATCTGACATTGTCCTCATGTAGGAAGACAACCAACATCTGACATTGTCCTCATGTAGGAAGACAATCAACATCTGACATCCTCCTCATGTAGGAAGACAATCAACATCTGACAATGGAAATACTATGATGTTTTATGGTATATAAAGGATATAAATAACACTGACCAGATGCAAGTATTGTCCCAATCTTTTTAAGGAGCAAAAGAGAAAAAGGTTGCAAAGCACAACAGATTGTGGATAACACCAAGGAAATGTTTTGAACTGGCACAATCTGTGCCTGTGACAATGCTGTTCCTATCCAGACTGAACTTTTGATGATCAGAGTTATTAAATGATGTGAGCTGTAATTCCCTTAAGAGTTTGTTTCTTCTGGGATTTCCAAGCAGTTAAATTCAATTCTCCACGTGGGTATAGTGTTTGAAGTTGAAGGCTGAAAGTGACAGAAGACCACACATTCTCACTCATATGGTGAAGATTTAGGTTAGAATTAATCTTCAGTAACCCATGCTTGTCATAAGAGGCGACTAACGGGATCGGGTGATCAGACTCGCTGACTTGGTTGACATGTCATCTTATCCCAATTGCGTAGATCGATGCTCATGCTGTTGATTACTGGATTTTCTGGTCCAGACTCTCTTTCTTTACAGACCGCCGCCATATAGCTGGAATATTGCTCAAAACTAAACTCACTCACTCACTCAAACACATACACATACAAACTTCTAATGATGACATGGCATATATCCACACCACTACAAGCATTCACACATGCTCGATACCATATTTGGGGCTAGTGGTTACAGCGTGCGCTCTTCACGCCAAAGACCCGGGTTCGATTCCCTACATGGGTAAAATGTGTGAAGCCCATTTCTGGTGTCCCCCGCTGTGATATTGCTGGAGTATTGCTAAAAGCAGCGTAAAACTAGACTCACTCGATACAATATTTATGAGATAAAGGTGAACACAGCTTTAAGCATTCATTGCTTCAATGCTCCAGGCTTCAACTCTGAACTTCCTATTTGTGTTTCCAGCATATATGACCTTGCTGATCCCGAGAAGGCCATGAAGACAATCGACCTTGACAGTGTCGGTAGGTTCGACTTCAACCCTTCCCCAACCAAGATTAGACTGAGCTCAGCACTGGGGGAGACAGCAGTCAGCTTTGACTTTGGCCCAGCGACAGAACTGAAGACCCGACAACGCTTGGGGGTATCTACTCTCCAGGAGACCCTCCCTGTCTGGCCGTAGTGGGTGTACGTCGTCAAGGGCAATGGAGATGTCATGGTGGTGTATACAAGTCTGAGGTTTACAAGGTAACAAATATGTGCTTTGTGGAAATGGGCTTCTCACATTGTACCTGTATGGAGAATCAAACCCTGATCTTCAGCTTGACAAATGAATGCTTTAACCATAAGACTACCCCTACGTCTCACTCACCCGTTGGATGTGTGAAAACAACGTCTGCTATTCATGCGGTGGCAGGGAAGGCTGGGACAGTTGAAGTCGTGAGGGGTTGAAACTGGAGACCACTTAAGATGAAGATTTCAAACAAAGGGTTGAATGAGTAACTGAATGTTTTGTGATACAACCATTTCAAGGTTCTCTGTAAACAATGAAGTCGTACAAGTCAAACCAATGGTTGATAGCATGGTAGCAGGGGGTAACTCCACATGGTGGGGGCCATTTAATAATAGATAAAAATATATTTTTATTTATTGTACAATATTTTTATTAAAACATTGATACAACTGTCACATGACATTTTCAGCCGCAGAAAATGCGTATATGTACCCCAAGGACGACTCTCTTCAAAGAATTGGAAACCTCTACAGGTTTAGCTAAATATCATGAAATATCAACGACCTGTTCACATCATAACCACCCAGTCCGTGATACAACATACCTTCCCTGCAACAAATTGACACAGCAGATCAAGTGTCAGAGATGATCAAATCATCGTGGTGGTGTGTGGTCCTGTGCATAGAGCTCAGGTCACATATCAGTTGAAGTTAAGCAACGTCGATCGCGGAGAGTCCTTGGATGGGTGACTGTGTTTGACAGCTTGACTCCTGAGAGTTTATAGGACTTCAGTCCTGCCCCACAACGAAACACATGTGATACATTTGGTCTCACCTAAGGCAAGTGAGTTTATTCAAAATTGCCTCTGTTCACCCAGCAGACAATGGGTACCCGGTGAGATAAATCATGTGACTATTAACCTTCTAGCGTCTAAGTCGTCACGCCGAAGACCTGGGTTCGAATCCCCACATGGGCACAATGTGTGAAGCCCATTTCTGGTGTCCCCCGCCGTGATGTTGCTGGAATATTGCTAAAAGCGGCGTAAAACCAAACTCAGTCAGTCAGACTAGCGCCTAACAGGCAGCTTGGGTTATCCGGGGTAATAATAATCAGATTCTGATTACAGCGTTCAGTGAGCAACTAGTCAGGGCCCGTTTCTCAAAGCTCTCGAGACCTCTGGCTTATGAGAGCTTTGTGAAACGGGGCCCAGATGGATACTAGGTGCTATAAATGAATTATTATTATACATATTATTATCATAAATCAGTTCACAGGTAAGTTGTACAGCCATTTTCTTCCCACCAAGACTTCACTTGAAGCAAACCAATTTGACTGATGCATAATACAGATAGTCCAGAAATCGTTCCCTCAGCTGTTTGTGATGTATTCCAGTACAGACATCAGATGACTTTAAAAATTCCTGAATCGGAATTAGACATTTTCCCATACATACTGATTCATAGGTGAAGCCTAGTAGTTAAAGCATTCACCTATCACACTGAAGACCTGGGTTCTGTTCTTCACATGGGTAAAATGTATGAAATGTGATGTTGCTGGGATATTGTTAAAAGCGATGTAAAACTCTCCAATCATATTATGGTTACAACTGATTTTACAGACCACCTCCATGGTGTAGTGATTAGAGTGGTCGCGGGTTCTATCCCCGACTGCGTCAAACCAAAAGACTTTAAAATATGGTACTTGTTGGTCCCTGCCTTAATGGGTACAACAAGGACTGTTTGGCTTGGAGTCAGTATAATGTGTCTGAGTGGGGTATTCATGCTTCACTGCGGCATGATATCTCAGTGGGCTAGCACTATAAAACCAGCTTAAGTCTGGGCTAGTACAAGCAGCCACACATACACATACACACGCATGCACGTCGTCATATGAGCGAAACATTCTCAAGTACGACGTTAAACCCAATTTCACCTCACCTCGCCACAACTGATTTTACAATAATGGAGAGGTGTTTTGTATTTCACTGATGCCAAGACTTACACAGAAGTGGAGACTTTGTTCAATACACTTTTAAAGTATAATAATTTAAACTATTCCGAATAACACTTTGAACAAAATAATGATTTTTCCCAATTAACCTTCCTTGATAAATTCCTCATGTTGTGTTGGTTTCTGTGTTACAGAAGTGTTTATAATTCCTTGTCTGACAGTACCGATGACATTGCTGACATAAGTTTGTTGAAAACTTAGAAATCACATTATTTAAGGGAAAATGTTTCATGTATGAGTCCAGTAAGTTTTATGTTAAAAGTGGTCCTTGGGTGCTTCACACTGCCTATTTGAATCTGAGGACTTTATTCTTAATCATTCAACTTCACTTGTTGTATTCTCCATTATCACATGAACAGCTGTACATGACTTAATTTATTGAAGACAACTTTATCTTAAACACAAGCCATCCTCCGAGTGTTTGCAATGTATGTGTGTGACACAACCTGCCTTGTTATAGTGAGAGAGTAAATATTGCCTTCCAAAAGATGGGGGGGCGGTGGGGTAGCCTAATGGGTAAAGCGTTGGCTCGCCACGCCGAAGACCCGGGTTCGATTCCCCACATTGGTACAATGTGTGCAGCCCTTTTCTACTGTCCCCCGCCGTTACGTTGCTGGAATATTGCTAAAAGCGGTGTAAAACCAAACATACTCACTCACTCACTCCAAAAGATGGGGTAGCCTCCTGGTTAAAGCATTCGCTCGTTACGCGGAAAACCTGGGTTCAATTCCCCACATGGGTAACATGTGTGAAGCCCATTTCTGGTGTCCCCAGCAGTGATATTGCTGTAATATTGCTAAAAGTGTGTAAAATCATCCTCACTCACTCACTATATAACTAGTGCACTAGCTACCCATGAAATTATATTCACTTGGGGCGAAGATGGATCAATAGCTTTGCTCTTGGTGGCACACATATGTTCCAAAGGGCACATCGAGCATCTCTGTGCGTGACCTGTGGCACACATATGTTCCAAAGGGCACATATAGCATCTCTGTAAGTGCCCTGTGGCACACTTGTAAGCAGATCTATATTGTTTTTTTGTCTTGTACTAACAGACTGTCTGCAGAGTCACGTGTTTGTCTCCAGGAACGAGCATCTCCCAGTGCAGGGCCCTCTGATGATGTGTCCACCTGCTGATGACAACTACGGCCTGGACGCATGCACCATCCGCTGTCTCAACATCTCTCCGCCAGTAGTTGTCATAGCAACTTGTGAAGGAAAACTACATCACTGTGTGGTCATGGCAACCGAGGATGACGACATATCTATTTCAGTGAGTGTTCTTCAGAAACAAATAGCTCTGACAATAATGTTTGTGTGCGCAAGTCTACTCAGTTGTAAATCAGTTTTGTTTCTATTGAAGGTATGAAGGCTGATTTTAACCAAAACACTGCATTCATTACTGATGTATATGTATACCCCCTGAGTGAGTTTTGAAACTCAAACTGTATCTTTCTCACTCACTCACTCACTCACTCACTCACTCACTCACTCACTCACTCACTCACTCACTCACTCACTCACTCACTCACTCACTCACTCACTCACTCACTCACTCACTCACTGGGGTGGTGGAGGTAGCCTAGTGGTTAAAGAATTCACTCGTCACACCAAAGATTTGATTCCCCACATGGGTACAATGTGTGAAGCCCTTTCTGGTGTCCCCTGCCGTGATATTGCTGGAATATTGCTACACTCACTCACTCACTCACTCACTCACTCACTCACTCACTCACTCACTCACTCACTCACTCACTCACTCACTCACTCACTCACTCACTCACTCACTCACTCACTCACTCACTCACTCACTCACTCACTCACTCGCTCATGAATATTGGAGAACGAATACAATAACAAGCCAACAGTAGATGTAATAAATATACAGTGAAACAACAGCAGAACATTTATTTGACATATTTTTACATAAATTTATCACAACAATTACCAGTGACCACACTGATGTCAAGTTAAATATATAATGTTGTCCAATATCCTGTCTGGCTTGGATATATTCCATATCCCATTTAATTAACACATGCTCATGTAGAAAACAGTCTTTATTTAATATTTGTGCATATTTGAATTGTGAATACCAAATGGCATTCTTGAAGGGATACAGCTTGAGATACAAAAAATACGCGAGTGCAGGGTTTTACCTTGAGTCACAAACATGGGGGTCCCAGGTACCCCAATTATTTGTTTTAAGGGACTTTGATGAGAGTATGAGGCTCCTGTGAAATAACAGTTTAGAGAAGCGTATGAGTTGATAATTTCTTTAGAGCCTGGAATGAATCATAAATAAACTGGTAGATGAAATGATGCACGTCACTGCTCTGAAAGACACAACCAAACACTTATCTATGTCATAGCAGAGATGCCAACCCTTACGATTTCATCGTACCGTTACGAAAAAACAACACAAAATACGCGACTACGATAGCAGTAAAAATATTAGATTTTTAAAACAAAATACATAAATTAAATGATTAAATAGCATACGTACTATACATTATACATTTTATTCAGTATCAAGCTATATGTGGATACTTACTACTGATTTAGTTGAGTATAACGTTAATAACAAGGTCTTAGACTATATATTAAATTTTTATATTTAATATGAAAATTCTTTGGAAAAGTTAACACTAATTTTGGCCAACAAATACTAATTTTTGAATCAGTTTTTGGCCAAAATACTAATTGGGCTAAATTAGGGTTGGCATCTCTGTCATTGATGTGTTGTCGGTACAGTGAATAATATTGTGGGGCCGTCTGGAAGCAGTGACTTGTTTTCTGTGTCCATTCTGTACATATGTGCACACTGGACACACATTTACGGGTTGCATGAGTGAATCAAAACAGCTCCATTACGCGGTACATATGCACATGCATGTACATCGCTGTTATGAGTGCAGTAATCTGAAAGGCAATGATGAATAGGTTTGGTTACTAGAAACTCTACACACATAGTTAAGTGTCACAGCAACAGGTAAACACTGACTAGTGTACTTTTGTTCAAGGTTAAAACCCTCAGATACAACCAGACCAATTATCTGCATGTATTACTGATGGTATGGACACTAGAGGTGTTCCGATTAATTGAAATAATCGAAGATTGGTCGCAGTGATCAAACGACCAAGCAATCGATCACATTTTCTCATAATCGAACACAAACGATTTTGGAAATACTGTTTTATTCTTTAAAACTCTTGTCGATGGAACATATATTCGAAGTTGTCAGGGCCTGAAAATGTGTTTAATTCTTGGAAAACTCACTTCACTAACTGAAAAGTCATGACTTAATAATAGTTGAAGGCTCTGAGTAGTTTATGTTCATGATATATTAGTCATCACTTTAAAGTAGCAAGTTGCATCATGTTATACTTATCTGCAATACCAACCTGAATAGAAAAATCTGAGAAATGACAATAACCAATTTTTTTCGATGATTTCTCGTTGGTAATGAAGCAATCATTAATTGTGAGATTTCAACCAATTCCCAACACTAATGGACACATTGTTTCCAAACAGATGACAATTGGCACTTGAAATAATGCTTCAGTTAATAAGCATTAAAATGTGGGCCAGGGTTAGTTGGATATTTGCAACAAGTGATAATCAAAGCTGCTTGGGGTGTTATTGGACAATGTGTATCACTGAGTGAGTGAGTATGGTTTTACGCCGCTTTTAGCAATTTTCCAGTAATATCATGGCGGGGGACAACAGAAATGGGCTCACACATTATACCCATGTCGGGAATTGAACTGGGCCTTCAGCGTGATGAGCGATCGCTTTAACCACTAGGCTACCCCTCCCCCACTAATCCTACAGGAGTTGTGATGAGAAGATAAGATAAGAGAAATTGCCCAAGAACCAGTTTATGCAAATTTTCTAGCATTCCCTTGTTAGCTGTAAATAACAGAGTCCGCAGTTTCTCCCTACATCTTTGTTGTCTGAAATTTGAAATCAAACGATTCAGGATTGTTACTGACCTGCAAAATAGGAGAGAATATGAATTTTTTATATGAAATTGCTCAATTGGGATACAAACTATATTGTACCTATGCCAATGTGATCTGACCCGTGAAGATCCGGGTTAGAATTGATCTTCAGTAACCTATGCTTGTCGTAAGAGGCGACCAATGGGATCAGGGTGGTCAGGCTCGCAGGCTTGGTTGACACATGTCATCGGTTCCCAATTGTGTAGACTGACGCTCATGGTGTTAATCACTGAAATGTCTGGTCCAGGTTCAATTATTTAAAGACTGACGCCATATAGCTGGACTGGCTGGCTGACTGAGTATGGTTTTACGCCGTTTTTAGCAATATTCCAGCAATATCACGGCAGGAGACACCAGAAATGGGCTTCGCAAGTTGTACCCATGTGGGGAATCGAACACGGGCCTTCGGCGTGACGAGCGAACGCTTTAACCACTAGGCTACCCCACCGCCCCCATATAGCTGGAATACTGTTGAGTGCTGCGTTAAACAACAACCAACCAATTAATAATGTAATGTGATGCATCCATCGCTAATGTCAGCGTATTTTGCAGGGTCACTCCAGCCTGGGCCCTACTCCAAACGCCAGCATCTACGAGCCTGTGACAGAGCCGACTCTGTGGGTGTACGAGAGTGTTGAACTTGAACTGTCCCTCACAACAACTGACATCAACGATGATCTGCCAATTGAAGATGATTTTGCCTGTCCGATACGAATTATTAAAGGTAACATCCGTTTACGTTGATCACTTTGTAAACTGCATTGTTCATTCGGCGAGTTGTAAGTTATGGAATGTTGTGAGATGCTTTGCTAAAAGATCAAAGGCCAACAGTACTTTATCAGGTGATAAAGTATGTATATTGCATGACATCACACTGTATTGACGTCACTACGCCATTCTTGTCTGCCCCCTCGTTATCAAGCTTACTCTTGGTAACTGACGTCATGATGCATGTCAGTTGTCATCGCCTTGTACAGCCTCCTACAGTAAACTACACCATAGCACCCCGTTTCTTGATTTGCAGTTGCTTCGTTCGGCTAACATCAGTGGCGGAAACACAAGTTTATGCTTTTCGACAGATAAAATGTCTCAGTTAGACTCACAATTAAACAGCGACACGGCAACGTTCGGAATGTTTACAATCCTACAATGCATCCGTGGAATGCCGCGTGACTTAAGTACTGTCGGACAAAAAAAACCTGTTTTTTTCCTTGATATCTACAATTTATGTAGTTAATATGTGTAAGTGTGAAATATCTGTTAAACTCAGTTCGGCCTAACTACAGTCTCAGTGGTAGGGAGATAGGAAACGTAGAAAAAGGACTTTACTGAGGAGAGATTAGTGCAGAAATGAGAAATGCGTCGTTTTTTCTAAGTCCAAAGCGACTTATTTGGCACAGGCCATGGCTTTATGCAAATTAGTGTGCGATGATATTATATTACAAAGGACAATTTTTATATGTCCACTCTGAAATTAAACTTAGCTTCATTACAAACGATAGCTGACGTAAAAAATAATAACAATTTTTTTACTGAAACTATGAACAGATTTTAATATTTTTTAGGATATTTCTCCATCAAAGTTAAAACTATTCCATCCCATATGTATATCCATGTATGGCCTTGTCAGAACTGAAACAGTTGAAAAACACATACAATATGTGGAAGAAATTGTGAAATCTTCCTTCTTGGTATGAGATGGCTGTGGTTTAACTCCTGACAGTGTCATACCATATGGCATTCCAAGATGGTCACTTGCCACAGGGCAGCCTAGTGGTTAAAGCGTTCGCTTGTCACACCAAAGACCCAAGTTCGATTCCCCACCTGAGCACAATGTGTGAAGCCCATTTCTGGTGTACCCCGTCATCATATTGCTGGAATACTGTTAAAAGCGGCGTAAAACCATACTCACTCACTCATTCCAAGATGGTACTTGCCGTTCCCAAGGTTGGCAAAACAGGGAATGGTCAGCTCTGTCTCTGTCGGGTTTCTGTGTTGAAAATATGCCTTGGCATCTAACAAAACTGGGTTGACTACCACACACACACACACACACATATGTAAGCATACCCGTGAAGATCCGGGTTAGAATTGGTCTTCAGCATCTGATGCATGTCGTAAGAGGTGACTAACAGGATCGGGTGGTCAGGCTTGCTGCCTTTGTTGACACATGTCATCATATCCCAGTTGCATAGATCGATGCTTACGCTGATTATCACTGGATTGTCTAGTCCAGATTTTATTATTTCATAGCTAAATAACGCTGACTGCAGCATTAAACAACAAACAAACAAATCCAAGCATGTCGTGTGTCCTGCAACTGAAAACCCCATTTCAATGAACCTTTCTTTTTATACAAAGTCAGACTAATGTTGTATTCTCGGTTAAAGGGAGTTGTTTGTTGCCTGTGGAAACATTAATGAAGATAACTGACAAAACTATGTGAGTTATATTGAAAAGGAAGGTTTGGCCATTAGTCATGTACTATATTTAGTATTTAGTTTTCTGTCAGTTGAATAATTAGGAGAAACACTGTGTTTCAACGGGGTGTTAGGCAACTAAGTTGAACCAACCGCCTCCATGGTGTAGTGGTTAGAGCGTCTGCCCTGAGAGCTGGTTCAATCCCCGGCCGCATCATACCAAAAGACTTTAAAATATGGTACTTGTTGGTCCCTGCCTGGCGCTCAGCATTGATGGGTACAACAAGGACTGGTCGGCTCGGAGTCAGTATAATGTGTCTGAGTATGGTATCTCAGTGAGCTAGCACTGTAAAACCAGCTTCAGTTTGGGCTAGTACAAGCAGGCAGACATACACACGCATGCACGTCGTCATATAAGCGAAATATTCTAGGTATGACGTTAAACCCCATTTAACCCCATCTAAATTGAACCACACTAGACTGAAACTGCAACATCGTAAAAATCTGATCTTCATTCATGCTACTACTCAACAAGGATCCGAGGACATCACATTGCTTGTATATTCGCAACAAACTTTCCGAAACTTTGACTGACAAGAAGTTTTCATTAGCCAATTGAAAGGCTGTTTTCGTATGCTATACGACACTAATTTCAAACTAGCACCATTACAGACACCGATTTGAAAACTAATTTGAATAAATTCTTGATTCAAAATGTGGAACAGTTAAAAGAATGTTCTCAAATGTCTCATATATGGCTGCATTTGTATGGGTTTGGTTTGGTTTGTTTTACACCGCACTTGGCAATATTCCAGCTATATGGCGGCAGTCTGTAAATAAGTCTGACCAGAACAATCCAGTGATTAACAGCATGAGCATCGATCTATGCAATTGGGATACGATGACATGTGTCAATCAAGTCAGCAAGCATGACCACCCGATCATGTTAGTTGCCCCTTACGATAAGCTTGGGTTACTGAAGACCAATTCTAAGCTGGATCTTCACAGGTCATTTTGTATTGCAATACATCCCACAGCCTATGAAAAGACTGACTGACTGACTGAGTATGGTTTTACGCCCGCTTTTAGCAATATTCCAGCAACATTACGGCGGGGGACACCAGAAATGGGCTTCACACATTGTACCCATGTGGGGATTTGAACCCGGGTCTTCGACGTGACAAGCCAACGCTTAACCACTAGGCTACCCCACCGCCCCCTATGAAGAGAAGTCTCTTCCTTCCGAATGTATATCCACTGAAGCATGGGGTTGACGGTGATTCGGAATCAGCCATATAGACGGAACTGAATTTTGGAATACCTAGTGCTATGCTTTTTCAGGCTGTATGATTTTGAAATGTATTCCATCTGTCACATTCCTACTATTGCGGTGGGGTAGCCTAGTGGTTAAAGCGTTGGCTCGTCACGCCGAAGACCCGGGTTCGATTCCCCACATGGGCACAATGTGTTAAGCCCATTTCTGGTGTCCCCCGCCGTGATATTGCTGGAATATTGCTAAAAGCGGCGTAAAACTAAACTCAGTCAGTCAGTCCCAACAGCCTTATTTCTTCTTTATTCCGTCTCAAGGCTGCATCTCTGCTGTCTAATCATAAAGGAGTTGTACGTCTACCTGTGTCGGGCTTACAGCTAATTCACAAGTTTCTACCTGTGTCATAGTGACAGTTTGAAATGTACGTGCATTTGTCACCTGTCCGTCTGGTATAACGGATGACAACAATCAACACTCTGATGTTGATCGTTCTTGTTACAGGCAAATAAACACCTTTTATACGAAACTCGTAATATATATCTAGGACAATACAAAGCCTGACCCTGCACCAACCTTTAAATAATTATGGTCTTAAACATTTGAGTAATGGGGGCGGTGGGGTAGCCTAGTGGTTAAAGCTTTAGCTCGCCACGCCGAAGACCCGGGCTCGATTCCCCACATGGGTACAATGTGTGAAGCCCATTTCTGGTGTCCCCCTCCCTGATATTGCTGGAATATTGCTAAAAGTGGCATAAAACTAAACTCACTCACTCACTCTTTTGAGTAGTGTGTTAGGTCAGTGAGGATTTCAGAATTGTCTGAAACATCACTGTTCCCCAAATTTTGGGCTTAGTATCTTCACTAGCATTGTCCTCTATCATTGTTTCCCAAATTTTGGGCCTAATATCTTCACTAGACCAACCTAGATCAATCATTGTTCCCCAAACGTTGTCCTCTATCATTGTTCCCCAAATTTTGCGCTTAATATCTTCCCCCAAACAATCTAGATAATCATTGTTCCCCAAACGTTGAGACTAGCATTGTCCTCTATCATTGTTCCCTAAATTTGGGGCCTAATATCTTCCCCCGAACAATCTGGATAATCATTGTTCCCCAAACGTTGTGACTAGCATTGTCCTCTATCAAATGCATTTGTAGGTCCTTGTATCATTGCTCCCCCAACAATCCCAACAATCTAGATAAATCATTGTTCCCTGAACTTGTGCCTGACATTGTCCCTTACGCGGTCTAGATAAATCATTGTTATGTTTCATTACATATTTCCTATTTAAATGCAGTAGGTATTTCTACAACATATATTATCGTGTAGTACTAAAATATGTTGAGTCTAGCATGTGGTAGATGAATGATATGGCTCAACACAGTTGATTTACATTCTGAACTAATTATAAATACTGTATGTAATGTCATAATGACAGGGACGAAAGAGGCCCCTTACCCCGAACTGAATAAGTTGAGTGTTGGGTTGTCTGTAGGGGTGAAACGGTACGCTTGAGCTTTGGTTCGGTACGTAGTGCGGTACAGGGCCCTCGATTCGGTACAGAACCAAGAGCGTAACAAAACTAAAATCACAACAAACCACAGTGTTTCTTGAAAATAAAGTTTTAATGAATGTAATGCTTCAAAACTAGCAGGCCATGATGGATAATTATTAATTCATTACATCTTTCCATCATTAACTCTTGGGAACGAATATATTTGCATCTGTAAGATGTCAAATATAATTATTTAAAAAATTCAGTATGTGGTTTATACGGAAAATACACTTTGATGCATGGTGTACTGAACCGAAAGCAAAATACCGCGGTTCCACTAATGTAGTTGTGAACCGTTTTACCCCTAGTTGTCTAGGAGATGATAAGACCCTCTACCCCTGCTGGCCCAAGGAGTGGTTGGGTGGTTAGGGCAGGGAATAGATCCCTTGGGCACCTTACTGTCTAAATAGGGGCCAGGTGATTAGGGTGAGAATAAGTGCCCCATTCCAGATGCTGAATGAAATTTGTGTGTGTGTGTGATTAGGGTGAGATTAGGTTCCCTAAACCAGATACTGATAAAAATATAGGTTGGGCAGTGTTCGCCTTAACGCAGAAAACCTGCATTTTTCACACACAAAAATCATAAAAACATGCAAAACATATTTTGAGTGTGTGTTCTGCATGCACAGATTCTGATTTACAGTTTATATTGTTATTGACATTGCTGCGTAATTAGACACTTCTCTCTAAACTGAATATGATTGACATTCAAATAGATAATAAGAATTGTCAGAAATATTTTCACTAGAATATCTTTAGTACATACACGAATTACATAACAATAACATCATATTATTATCCTAACGATTTTATGGGTATTAAAATGGACTCGTCCAGAAATAGCGTCCGCCTGTTTCCGTCTAGACTTTTTTTGTCTTTTCCGAGCAGAACTCTAAAACCGTTTCACTATTTCTTCACCAAACTTGGCACATAGATAGATTTGGTGGTGTACTGGTGCCTTTTGGTAGTTTTGGAATTCTGAATAAAATATTTTTGGCGTTTCCATGGCAACAATTTCAACTTAGACTGAAATTGGTGGTAGTGCTCTTTTCCGTAGCCGAACTCTAAAACTGTTCTCTATTTCTTCACCAAACTTGGCACATACATATATCTGGTGGGGTACTGGTGCCTTTGGGTAGTTTTGGAATTTTGAATAAAATATTTTTGGCATTTGCATGGCAACAAGTTTGACTTAGCCTGAAATTAGTGGTAGTGCTCTTTTCCGGAGCAGAACTCTAAAACCGTTCACTATTTGTTGACCAAACTTGGCACATAGATAGATCTGGTGGTGTACTGGTTCCTTTTGGTAGTTTTGGAATTCTGAATAAAATATTTTTATGTTTCCATGGCAACAAGTTTGACTTAGACTGAAATTGGTGGTAGTGCTCATTTTAGGATAAGTGTTTCTGTTACCAAACTTGGCACATACATATTGGACAAGGAAATAATTAATCCACATAAACAGGATGTCATTGGCTACTGTCGAAGGAATTTACAAGATTTGAACAAAATGAAAAAAGGGCACTTCATTCTAAAAGGGCATTTTGGTTCCATGAAAAAAAACAACAAGTTTAGTCAGTTGACTGATTTTATTGGTGATTCTCATTTTCTTGTTAAGAGTATCTTGTTCTTTCAAACTTTCTGTTTCAAGTACAATGTCTGAAATAATCATAGTATGACTTTAATCATTATTTTTCCATTCAGGCTAATCATGAGAAGTCTGTTGCAATTTTGAACACTGAGTCTGTTTCTATGATCTGTCACAATCAGTTTCACTTTTGAGAACACTCTCTCAACTTCAGAAGTTGACAATCACAGTTGCATGAATGGACAGTAATTGAACAATGTTTGGATTCAAGTTTCCAAGTTGAGGCTTGAGTCTTCAAAATGGTGGAGGGTGAACTGGTGTCAAGCTCCTTTACTTGACTCCACTCAATCTGTGTTTGGTCGACATTAAGTCCATTTCTGCCCTTGGTGTTCCACTTAGAACATAATGAACAAATCATCATTCCCTTCTTTTGTCATCTTCTGAGTACCACATCGACCAGGAGACGGTTTTGTTGCCACTTTGTGTCAAATGCAGTCTTGTGACCACCGCCTTTCTTCTTTGTTGGATTAACTGACTCTGTCTCGTGTGCCATTGACTCGCGGCTTGAGTTTTCCTAGGAAACTACCTCTGACTCGTCTAAGTCCGGTCTGAAAAAAAATATATACAAAGTTAATATACCATATTCAAAATATTCTTAGATATTAAATTTGCAATCATAATTATTAAAACAAAAATATCACACAATAATACACCTGAACGTAAGTATCTACTGTGGAGAGCTTCGACAAGGGTGTGGCTTCCCATTGTTTGAAATCGTAAAATAGTTTTACTCCTTCAAGACTTACTTTTTTATGAAATCGACACTAAACACTAAACACTAAAAACAAGGCTACCATGTTAAGTGTTATGCAAGCTGTATTAACTATTTCATTTCCCAGGACAAACAACAAAATAATTCAATATCGATTTCAAATTGCCGATGGATTCAAAATGGTGGACATTTTCGAGTTTCAGATTTTCACCTAAACAGCACAGTCTCATGAATATCGGTCCCCCCAAACGTACCAAAATACATCCCATGTAGTTCACACATTGTTGTCTTTAATAAATGAAGGTTTTATTTGAAGGCATGTGAAATGGAAAGGGAAATCAACGGCCTAAAAATCATGAACTTAGAGGCACATACCTGTTAGGCGCGAAGAAATCTATTAGTCGGCGACACTTCCTTGCTTCAACCTTCACCGCTTCTTCTCTTTTCCTTTTGATTCTTTCCTTGGTAGGCATTGTGATTTGTAAAGAGAATTAAACACCTTTGACTTCGCCATGGTTTAAATGCCAATTTCCTAATCATTATCAAAACAATTTTGCATCTCCCCTAGAAAGGGAGAGAACTCTGTCCTTAATAAAATTCTGAAAATACACACGGATTGTTGTAAAATCAAGCACAGCTGAAAAATAACTGGGATTGAGGTGAAAAGGGCAGGGCACAAAACAAAAAGGGCAAGGCGCAGCGCCCTCCTAAATGTGCCTAAGGGGAACACTAAGGATCGATATGTAAGACCACTATTAACGATCGTCGGTAGTCAGGAAGTGACTTCAACACACGGTATTAGCAAACGACAGTCACATAATGATTGTTCATTATATTCAAACACTGGAACGTAAAGTTAAAGCATATAGTTATAATTATTTGTTATGATAATGATAGTATTGTAATGAAAATTTCACACGCAAAAGATTTGGACTACATATATATAATTGTATTTCTGCACGCACTGGTACAAAACCTACCGTGAACACTAGTTGGGTGATTAGGGTGAGAATAAGTCCCCCCATACTAGATACTGACATACGGGGTGGGTGGATGATTAGGGTGAGAATAAGTCCCCCCATACTAGATGCTACGGGGTGGGTGGATGATTAGGGTGAGAATAAGTCCCCCATACCAGATACTGACATCGGATGGGGTGGGTGGATGATTAGGGTGAGAATAAGTCCCCCCATACCAGATACTGACATATGGGGTGGGTGGATGATTAGGGAGAGAATAAGTTCCCCCCATACCAGATACTGACATACGGGGTGGGTGGATGATTAGGGTGAGAATAAGTCCCCCCATACCAGATGCTGACATACGGGGTGGGTGGATGATTAGGGTGAGAATAAGTCCCCCATACCAGATACTGACATACGGGGTGGGTGGATGATTAGGGTGAGAATAAGTCCCCCCATACCAGATACTGACATACAGGGTGGGTGGATGATTAGGGTGAGAATAAGTCCCCCATACCAGATACTGACATACAGGGTGGGTGGATGATTAGGGTGAGAATAAGTCCCCCATACCAGATACTGACATACAGGGTGGGTGGATGATTAGGGTGAGAATAAGTCCCCCATACCAGATACTGACATACGGGGTGGGTGGATGATTAGAGTAATTTTTGATCCCTTAAACCAGATATTGATTGAAATAGGAGTCGGGTGATTAGGATGAGAATAAGTGTCCCCATACCAGATACTGATTGAAGTGGGGTGTGTGTAATTAGGATGAGAATATGTCTACTGTGATCTGCACTAACATGGGGGTTGGTGGTGAGAAAAATATTTCATCTCCTTCATATTGGGTGATTAGGCTCAGTGAGTCAGCTGATTGTGTGTCATAATTTACTTGTTTGCCTGTACTTAATTATTCATGTGTCATTATTCAGCTGAACAACAATTATGATCAGGATTAGCGTCAGTTAAGTGCATAGACAATGTGTTTGTTAAAACAAAACACTTTTAGAAAAGAAACATGATACATGATGGTTAGATCCTGCTGGAAGTGAAAATTCTGCTGTCAATGTTGTACAGTTAGGAGTTTTCTGTAATTCAGAATAAATGGGTGTTGGGATTGCATATTATGCAAATATCTCTCTTAAAATAGAGATATAATGGATGCATGTTTTCCTACCAAACATAAATGCCGGTTTATGAATATGGCAGACCGGGATGAGATGTCACCTGTTCAGGATAAACAAGTATGGTCCTGCCATCTGATATGACTGATGTAGCTCAGGTGTTGCCTGTCAGTGCCCGCTGACCATGCAAAAAATCCTTCACATTCATGTCAAATAGTTGTTCTATGTTGTATACACTGGGTTTTTTAAATTGAGAATATTTCCCTAAGAACAATTATTCTTTTGTGAATGGTATTATGGGTGAAACTTTTATTTCCTATTGTCACTGATTGTTCGTCTGTCCCAAGTTTTATGTGTTGTAAATCCACTAGATGTCAGAATTGACGAGTTGACGTGTTCACGTGGAGTGGTTGATCTCACCTCTGAACGCTAGAACAAAACAAGACAAATCATTCTTCATATCTGAAGAGTTACTTTCATTGTTTGACCTCGTGTCAGGTCGTCATGCATGTATTAGTGGTATTGTGCAATAAATTAGCCGTGTTTATGCAGCGTTAAGTCTGGGTGTTGACAGTGCGGTTGGAATTGAATCTGGAAGGCCATGAAGCCTAGGTGTGTCGTGCCTCACTTGTCAGGCTGCGCATAAACGTGTCGGAAAAACCTGTTAGCATTGGTGAATATTGGGATATTGCAATGTATCATTCTGTCATTATTATATTTAATGACCTCCTTGAGACAGTTTTATGTAATGCCTTAGTCCTTACATACATTCTCCACACTCACAGAATAAGTAATTAGTTGTACAGAATAGATCATGGATATTATGGATATATTCGAGTGTTTATTTGACTGTGTTGAGTAACGTTGCATGATGGGATCAAATGATGGAATTATGTAACTGATAATTTTCAGGTTATGATTTCTTTGTTCAGAATAGTTTTCAGCTGAATAACATTGTGAAAGTGAAAAATAATATTGTTTGATGTTTATCTGTTGCAGATCCGTGCACGTCAACCCGTTACCACTGTTGCCATGGTGCTGGAGTCCACAGCGTTGCTTTACCGTGGCTCAGCTGTGTGCACAGGTTCCTCACAGGTGAGTCAATTCTGTAAGGTGCGTGTCTGTGAGTGAGTGAGTTTGGTTTTGTGCCGCTTAGAGCAATATTCCACAAATATCATGGCGGGGGACACCAGAAATGAGCTTCACACATTGTACCCATGTGAGAAATCGAACCCAGGTCTTCAGTATAATGAGCAAATCCTTAACCACTAGGATATCCAACTGCTCCAGCATGCCTGAGGGGATTCTGGGCTACAAAACGTGCTTGTCATACAAGGTGACCCAGTGGCTTTAGTGGCTGTGACTTGGAGTTCAAGACCAGACTAGGTGATGGGATGGGGCAGACCAGGTGAGGGGGTGGGGCAGACCAGGTGAGGGGGGGGGGCAGACCAGGTGAGGGGGGTGGGGCAGACCTGGTGATGGGATGGGGCAGACCAGGTGAAGGGATGGGGCAGACCAGGTGAGGGGGTGGGGCAGACCAGGTGATGGGGGGTGGGGGCAGACCAGGTGATGGGATGGGGCAGACTAGGTGATGGGATGGGGCAGACCAGGTGAGGATGGGGTAGGGCAGACTAGGTGAGGGGTGGGGCAGACCAGGTGACGGGGTGGGGCAGACTAGGTGATGGGATGGGGCAGACTAGGTGAAGGGGTGGGGCAGACTAGGTGATGGGGTGGGGCAGACCAGACTAGGGGGTAGGGCAGACCAGGTGATGGGGTGGGGCAGACTAGGTGATGGGATGGGGCAGACCAGGTGAGGGGGAGGGCAGACCAGGTGATGGGATGGGGCAGACTAGGTAGGTGAGGTGGGGCAGACTAGGTGATGGGGATGGGGCAGACTAGGTGATGGGATGGGGCAGACCAGGTGAGGGGGTGGGGCAGACTAGGTGATGGGATGGGGCAGACCAGGTGAGGGGTGGGGGCAGACCAGGTGAGGGGATGGGGCAGACCAAGTGAGGGGGTGGGGCAGACCAGGTGATGGGTGGGGCAGACTAGGTGATGGGATGGGGCAGACCAGGTGAGGGAGAGGAGGGCAGACCAGGTGATGGGATGGGGCAGACCAGGTGATGGAGGTGGGGCAGACTAGGTGATGGGATGGGGCAGACCAGGTGAAGGGGGTGGGGCAGACTAGGTGGCCAGGGTGGGGCAGACAAGGTGATGGGATGGGGCAGACCAGGTGAGGGGGGCAGACTAGGTGATGGGGTGGGGGCAGACTAGGTGAAGGGATGGGGCAGACTAGGTGATGGGATGGGGCAGACTAGGTGAGGGATGGGCAGACTAGATGAGGGTGGGGCAGACTAGGTGAGGGGTGAGGGCAGACTAGGTGAGAGGTGGGGGCAGACTAGGAGGGGGTGGGGCAGACTAGGTAGGTGATGGGGCAGGGCAGACAAGGTGATGGGGTGGGGCAGACTAGGTGAGGGGGTGGGGCAGACTAGGTGAAGGGGTGGGGCAGAATAGGTGGAGGCAGTGGGCAAACCAGGTGAAGGGGTGAGGTAGACCAGGGGAGGCAGTGGGACAGACAAGGAAAGTGTTCAGGGAGGTGTACATACAGAAACAGGTGATGGGTTGGGGCAGGGGGAGGGGGTGGGGCAGACCAGGTGAGGGTGAGGAACAGACCAGGTGGGGCAGACAGGTGGAGGGTGAGGAACAGACCAGGTGAGGGGGTGGGGCAGACCAGATGAGGGGTGAGAACAGACCAGGTGAATGGGTGGGGCAGACCAGGTGAGGGTGTGGGGCAGACCAGGTGAGTGGGTGAGGCAGACCAGGTGAGAGGGTGGAGCAGACCAGGTGAGAGGGTGGGGCAGACTAGGGAGATGGTGGGTGGGAGCAGACCATGTGAGAGGGTGGTGGGGCAGACCAGGGTGAGTGGGGGAAGGGCGAGACCAGGTGAGGGTGTGGGGCAGACCAGGTGAGATGGGTGGGCAGAACAGGTGAGGGGTGGGGCAGACCAGGTGAGGGTGGTGGGGCAGACCAGGTGAGTGGGTGAGGCAGACCAGGTGAGAGGGTGGGGCAGACCAGGTGAGTGGGGGGTGGGGCAAACTAGGTGATGGTGGTGGGGCAGACCATGTGAGGGGGGCAGCCTGAGAATTGAAGTGTTCAGGCCATACAGGAATGACCTGGCCAGGCAGATCAAGACAAGGCTCCGATTTCTCAAAACTAACTTAAGTTTTTACTCAAATTTCAAACTGAGTTTGACAATTTGAAACAGCTGAATTTTAAACTAAATTTTTGTAATAAAAAAGCCCAAAGAACTTAAGTAATCTTTCCCCCAAACTCAAATTGTTTACTATGTTTGAGTTTAATATCTATTTCAGTTTATTCTGGGAAATGCATTTTCCAGCATTTTCTCAAATTTGAGTAAAAATTCTAACTAAAGTCAAAACTCAGACTTAGGTTTGTTTTTGTCGGGGCGGAAGGTCAGGTGGGGCTTATTTTTCTCAGTTTCACACCTCAAGTTACTAAAAAAGTAAAGCATCATTTTGGATGACAAATAGAATCTCACCCTCATGTCCTTGTGTCATGTTTATATCAAACATTTCAAGATATCAGTTTGTCTTCTCCTGTCTCAGTAATTAGACAGACAGACAGACAGTTTATTCAGTAAGGAGGCCACTGGCCCATAATACATACAGATAATAGGGTTGTTTTTGTATCTTTCACGTGCGCATGTTTTAAGAAGGTATATGTAGCACTCATTTGTTTCTAGAATTTACAATATTGTTAACATGGTACAAAAACAAGCCGATGTTGTACATAACATCATAACTTTCATTTTGAAACAGATTTATCATAGTGTGTACAGTGTAGGGTTCTTGTATATATTTAGCAATGTATTTGACTCTTAAATCTTATAACAACCACACACAAATATGACATGCCATTCATTTTCAATATAATCCAGACCTGCAGTACATACAAAGTCTTTCTCTTAGTTCAATATTGCCATATCTTCCAGTTTCTACTGCTATCTTAAAGTTGCTACATCTAAATCTTGATAAAGACATCCTTAGATACACTGGAATGTCAGAACACAAGTATTTTTCAACATTCAACAAAGACTTATATTGCTTATAATAAAAGCATTTTGAAGAATCCTGTATTGATGAATACCATGACTGTTGTAGATTTACCTTTAGTCTTTGTTTAAAAAGAGAAATGAACATACCAACATTTCCTATTTCTTGATAAAACCAAGCATAACAAAGCCATACCTGAGTAATATTTGTTTAACCTTTGAAACCCATGTGGTGCGTCCAGCTTCATCTAAAGATCTTAACATAATGTAACATTGATGAGGCAACCTATTTTCTGGTAAATTTATGAGACGACACCAGTATTTAATAACACGCAAGAGATAAACATATTGGAGAGAGAGTCTGCCACCTGCCTAACACCATACCGTTAGACGTAGATTTGTTTACTCTTAAATACTGTTTACAGAACTTAAGTTGTACGGCTTCAATAACTTTACAATATTCAGTTCCCCAAATTTCTGCGCCATAGCAGAGTATAGGTGCAATCATTGAGTCAAATATTCTAAATAAATCACAGCCATGTCTCAGTAATCAGGGCGGTGGGGTAGCCTAGTGGTTAAAGCGTTGGCTCTTCACGTTGAAGACCCGGGTTAGATTCCCCACATGGGTACAATGTGTGAAGCCCATTTCTGGTGTCCCCCGCCGTGATGTTGCTGGAATATTGCTAAAAGCGGCGTAAAACCAAAACTCAGTCAGTCAGTCAGTCTCAGTAATTAACATGTCACCAATTTCTTTAAATGTGATGATTATCTCTACTAGTCATGATTGTTTCTGCATTCAACTGACCAGTGTGTCATATTTGGTTCATCTGTTGCAGCTAATAACAATGAATCAAGTCTTCCTCACAACCAGGAGTGTGTGGTGGAACACTTAGTCTGTACCAAGCCACTCCCATCCAGGTCAGTAAGATCCTTAGTCTGTACCAAGCCACTCCCATCCAGGTCAGTAAGATCCTTAGTCTGTACCAAGCCACTCCCATCCAGGTCAGTAAGATCTTTAGTCTGTACCAAGCCACTCCCATCCAGGTCAGTAAGATCCTTAGTCTGTACCAAGCCACTCCCATCCAGGTCAGTAAGATTATTAGTCTGTACCAAGCCTCTCCCATCCAGGTCTCTAAGATCTTTAAAAAAAACCTCTCTTCCAGATTAGGATACTTAGTCTTTGCAAAGCCCCTCATTTCCAGATCAGTAGGATCCTTAGTCTTTGCAAAGCCCCTCCCTTCCAGATCCTGTCTGTGCTATGCCCCTCCCTTCCAGATCAGTAGGATCCTTAGTCTTTGCAAAGCCCCTCCCTTCCAGATCCTGTCTGTGCTAAGCCCCTCCTTTCTAGATCAGTAGAATCCTTAGTATTATCTAAGCCCCTCCCTTCTAGATCAGTTGAATCCAGTCCGTGCTAAGCCCCTCATTTCCAGATCAGTAGGATCCTTAGTCTTTGCAAAGCCCCTCCCTTCCAGATCCTGTCTGTGCTATGCCCCTCCCTTCCAGATCAGTAGGATCCTTAGTCTTTGCAAAGCCCCTCCCTTCCAGATCCTATCTGTGCTAAGCCCCTCCTTTCTAGATCAGTAGAATCCTTAGTATTATCTAAGCCCCTCCCTTCTAGATCAGTTGAATCCAGTCCGTGCTAAGCCCCTCCCTTCTAGATCAGTAGGATCCTTAGTCTTTGCAAAGCCCCTCTCTTCCAGATCAGTAGGATCCTTAGTCTTTGCAAAGCCCCTCTCTTCCAGATCAGTAGGATCCTTAGTCTTTGCAAGGCCCCTGGAAGCTCGGTGATAACCATGCCTGGATGTGTTTCAGCCCGGCTGCTCCAATTCTTGGCCTCGACATCATCACCGATCCATCCTTGTCTCCAACACTGCTGACCTTGACCAGTGACTTTGAGTTTGTCGCACTGCCCTTGAGGTGAGAGTTACATCATAGAATAAACAATGACCTTGTCAGGTCAGTCACTGATACTTTTTAAAGGAATGGAAAAAATTGTTTAGTTTTTCTGAAAGTGATTTCATCATGTCTGTATGACATGTGACCAGTGGGATTTTTTTCCACCGCCGCAACGCGGAACAGGGGACTATGTATGCAGCAGCGTCTGTACGTACGTACATCCCGATTCTTGTTAATAAGATACCTCGTGAAGTGTTGTACCCAATGTCTTCAAATTTAGTGACAGCCTACATTGGGGGATTGCGCAGACAACAGTTGGTTTGGGTGACCTTAACCTTATTTTCAAGGTCACCATGACACTTTGACCACTTTGTAAACTTGCCATTTCTTACAAAGTTGATGTCAGGAATTAACATAGCTGGTATCAGGGTAGAGTAGTGTAAAAGGGGATGGGGTACCCGGGGTAGAAAATTTAAAGCCGTCCCAGACCTAATACACACTGATATTGAACAGTTGCCCTTTGTCAAAGAAACGGGATTTTTAAGACCTACATTTTTGTAAGATTGCTTATGTACAACAAGCCTATATTGAGGGCACTAACTTTGGGATCTGTATCACACCTCTGAACTATAGTCACTCTCTGATGCAGGCTAATTTGCATATCACGTGACCAGACTTTTCTCTTGTTTGTAAACAAAAGTGCATATTCGTAAATAAGAATAGACTGGCCTTTTCAGTGTACTCTTCATAATGTTTTACATTGTTTCATAGATATTATTCTACAACTGCAGCAGTAGGGATTATGACAATGAATATTTATATATGAAAGGGGCTGCATCATTTGCTCTCTGTTGCGCTTCGATGATAGCATGTGGTGCCGTGCAACCTATGTAAACAAAGGATCGCTACACATATCGAAATAGTGTTTCATATTTTAGGATGTTTTCTCATTGAAACTAAACCATTCCATCAATGATGTTTAATTAGACCTATAGACTCGTAAAAATATAAGAGTTAAGAAATATCTACAATATATTGAATCATAACATCTCTCTGACCTGTAGCGGAGGTACTGTGCTGGTCGCATGGAACTCTTGGTAGGAGAGTGGGCTATTGTTTAAAAAACAGATTTCCTTTTCTCAAAATGTGTCCCAGTCCACAAAGCGTTTGTAGTGCTACAACATTCGTAAGCCTATGATAATATATGGAATTGCGACAGGTCGTAAAGTTACGAACTCTCTGTGGATCAGGACCCTGTACTAGAAGTGTACTGTAAGTATTGTACTAATGTAATTGAACGTCGCAAAGAGTTCAATGCCAAATATTTGAAAATATTAGCTACACACATTTCTTACGTTTTCTAGTTTTATGAATTGGCACGACAGAGATCTGTAAACCATAAATATTACAATATGTGACCTAAAATGCCATTACCATGGTAACAATATGCTGCTATAGTTACACGTAGTGTCCTCCCCTCAGCACCAAGAGCAGCAGTCTGGATGAACCCAGGTCCTTGCTGTCAGACTCCCCAGGACCAGCAGTTACCTCCCCTCTCCGTCAGCTCAATCGGGAACCATTCGACCAACACATTGCCAAGATTCTCCTAAGAAGCTCCTCACATCCAGTTCTCAAGTAAGTCATGGTGTGGGTTCAGCCTAGAATTGGTCTTCAGCAACGTAATAATTGGACCTAAACTATACGCTGAAATTCATTCACATACCAGATTTACTGTGAGAAAGTGCTTTACAAATGGTTGAAATAATTTCTGTCTCATTGTGTTATCTCCCCTGATTAATATTTCCTCCCAGCTATTTTTACCAATACACAGCCTTAATGGATATGGAATATTCCAGGTCTGGCCCCAAGTCAGAGTTATCCCAACAGGAATGCTTCCAGCTGCTGACACGAGCCACACAGGTGTTCAGGGAGGAGTACATACAGAAACAGGACCTGGCCAGGCAGGAGATCGAGACCAGGTGAGGGGGTGGGGCAGACCAGGTGTGGGGTTAAGCAGACCAGGTGTTGTGGGGTTGAGCAGACCAGGTGTGAGGTTGAGCAGACCAGGTGAGGGGATTGGTGAGGCGGACCAGATGAGGGGTGAGGGGGCAGACCAGGTGAGGGGGTGGGGCAGACCAGGTGAGGGGTTGAGCAGACCAGGTGAAGGGATTGATGAGGGATTGGACCAGGTGAGGTGAGGGGGGGCAGACTAGTGAGGGGTGGGGCAGACCAGGTGAGAGTGAGGAACAGACAAGGTGAGGGAGGTGGGGCAGACCAGGTGAGGGTGAGGAACAGAACAGACCAGGTGAGGGGATGGAGCTGTCCAGGTGAGGGGTTGGGCAGACCAGGTGAGGGGTAGGGGCAGACTAAGGAAATGTGACCAGGTATAATAGGGAACAGACCAGTGGAGGTCAGAGCAGGAAGGGAAGTGATAGACTTATGCATGTTGTGTTTGTTGCAGGGTACGGATCCTCCATGAACAAAAGAAGCAGCAGCAGCGTGACATCAGCACCCTCAGCCAATCTCGCAACATCCTCCAGGACAAGGGGGAGGGGCTTGCTTCAAAGTTAAACTCAGCACAAGAAAGCCAGGAATCATTGCTCAGGAGGTAAGGGGGTACTGTGTCCAGAGTAGGCACGTTTATTGGATATAGATAGTGACCATTGTAGGCAGGCATGTTTGTAGGCATAGCCAAGCATAAGCATTTGAGTCTGGATTATCTGAAGAGCAAGGTGCTTGAAATTTATCTTTGCCTGTATCATCTATAGTGCAAGCTGCTTGAAGTGTTCCTGTAACTGTATCACATACAGATACACATCACAGCGAGATACTGGATGTGAAAAATGTTTTGTGCTTTGAGCAAGGTGCTTGTTAATCTGTTAATCTCCATTGTATAAATGTGTAATCTCCTTCCCAGATTGGATCACATCATGAGGAAGATTCAGTCGCGGGTGCCGATGTTGTCTGACGCTGAGAAACACATGTTGAGAGAGCTGAAGACAATCAAGGGGAACCTGGACACATTTGCTAAAAAGCTGCAGCAGGTGAGACATGAATGACAAACTGATACCACATGGTCGAACTGAACTGCAGATCAAGCAGTGTTCATTCGTTCTTCTACCCAGAGTTGCATGCAGCCAACATAGCACTACCTGCTAACTCTGCCTCTGTACATTCAATATGCTGTATGATTTTCAACTGTTTCATATTTTACTTATTTACACATCTATTTGCGAATGGTTTACTTTTGTTAAGAAAATATGAAGGTATAGTTTGTTTATTTTGGTTGAAAGGCTCCACGTGCTGTCATTGAAGCCCTACGGAGAGCTGGTGATACATTCACTTTGATGTATAAAACAGTTTTATGATGTCCCTCACTGTCGCAGTTGGAGTGAAATATCTACAAAAATGCTTGCATTAGGCCAGTCTTTTCTGATATAAGGATACACGCATTTGTTTATAAAGAAGAGAAAAAGTTTGTTAACATGACATGCAGATTAGTCTGTGTCAGTTTACCAGTGTCTGTGTTAAACCCAGCTGACGTGACCTCTGTGTGTTACTCCCAGGTGAAGATCAAGCAGGACTTTCAGGCACGGACTGCTGCAGGCGACCGACAAGGCCCAGGAAGTCCAGCCATACAGAAGGCTCAGATCGGTCAGCTGCAACACATTCTCAAACAAGAGTAAGTAGCAGTTACCTCCCTTACCTCACATATTCATGGTCTTGCTTAGAAATAAAAAAATCAAAAACAGTTTCAGTTTGTTTTCTGTTTGAGCATATCATTGTGGCATCCTGTTGGTAAGTAAAAATAAAGGGCAAATCTATTTTGGAAGTTGTCAGAAAATTTAATGTCAGACACAAAGCTAATGAAGAGCTGATGTCCATATTTCCTCTTTCACTTTGAATTTCTTCCTCTTTTGTAAAGATTGTTATTTAAACTCAAACAGCTTAACCAGATATTAGCTTCAACAAATAACAGCTAGTACTGGGAGCACGTAGACATATCAAAGCTACCATGGTAAAGGGGTTGCCTAAACAACAGTTCCAAAATAAGATTTTACTGGGATGCTTGGCATGAGATGAAACAATATCTACAGTTAGCTACCAATTGTGACATTGGTAACAGAGATTATATTCTCACACCTCGAAACATTTCATTTATCCTACAGATCTGACAGGTTCCTTTCACAGGTCAAACCTGATTCTAACATAGGTTGTGTGAAGATTCAGGTTAAAATTGGTCTTCAGTAACCCATGCTTGTCATGATGGACAGGTGCAATTAATGTAGGATCAGGTGGTCAGAATGTATGGCTAACATAGGTTGTAACTCACAGAATGTATGGCTGACTAGGTTTGCCACATGTCATTGTATCCCAATTGTGTAGATTGATGTTTATGATCTAACATAGGTTGTAACTCACAGAATGATGGCTAATGGCACAGAATATGGCTAACATAAACTCCACCCACTCACTCATTTATCCTACAGATTGTATTGCTTGCACAGGTTGTAACTCACAGAATGTATGGCTAACATGAGGTCTTCTGTTACAGGGGAGAGGAGATTGCTGACCTCATGAAGAAAATCACACAGCTCAAGATGGAGACAAACAGCTGAAGTGGAAAAACTGACATTGAACTAAATAAGATGGAGGCAAGACTGTCTGTCTACTCTAGTGAAGGCTGCAGGTCCACTGTTACTGTAGGACCACACATCTTGATCAGAGATCATAGTGTACCAGTGGTTGATGTAACAAGTAATGAAGCAGCCAGGAGCCATTGTGGGCTGTCTAAATATGTGACTCAGCTTTGTAGCGATTGACCACACTTCATACTTCATGCTCTTAATTTTAAGGTATCCTGGAAGATGACTGACTGACTGAGTATGGTTTTACGCCGCATTTTAGCAATATTCCAGCAATTTTAAGGTATCCTGGAAGATGACAATCGTGTCAGTTTTTATACAGATCATTCACACCCATGAAGATCCCGGTTAGAATTGATCTTCAGTAGCCCATGCTTGTCGTGAGAGGCGACTAACAGGATCAGGTGGTCAGGCTCTCTGACTTGGTTGACACATGTCATCATATCCCAATTGCGTAGATTGATGCTCGTGTTGTTGATCACTGGATTGTTTGGTCCAGACTTAATTATTTACAAACCGCCGCCATATAGCTGGAATATTGCTGAGTGGGTTGTAAAACTAAACTCACTTACAGATTATGCACAAAATGTCGAGGATGTTCAGCGAGATAATTGTGTGATGTGTCGCGATGTGATGTCACCAGTGCATCATCGCTATGTTGGATGGCCGATGTTGACCACTTTTCTGGCCGCTACTGACGATGCTGCAAGCAGTACTGTGATTGTTACATTAAGTGTTTCACAACCCTGTATATAGTGAAGAAATACATGTTGTATCTTGTAGTCATGTGTGTCTGTTGTCTCTCACAGATCCACTTACATTTGTGTTATTCTTCTGTATCAGTGTAATGATGTCTGAGACAGATTGTTTGACAAATAGATTGAACATGTTGAAAAAAGCAATATGACACATGGTTCCATGTGTTTCGGCACAGACAAACACTACACAGTAAGACAGACACACACTGCACATACACACTGCATTGACATACACAACACATGCACAGACACTAGAGGTGTTCCAATTAATTGAAATAATCGAAGATTGGTCTCAGTGACCAAACGACCAAGCAGTCGATCACATTTTCTCATAATCAAACACCAACAATTTTGGAACTACTGTTTTTGCGTTTAAAACACTTGATGATGGAACATATCTTAGAAGTTGTCAGGGCTTGAAAACGTGTTTAATTCTTAGACAACTCACTTCACTTACAGAAAAGTCACGACAAAATATTTCTTGAAGACTCCAGGATACCAATGCAATTTGCGCAGTTTCCAAATAAAACAAAAATCAACAAAGAACCATGTTCTACATATCTGAACAGGAAAATCTGAAAAATGATGCTAACAAATTTTTTTTGATGATTGCTCGTTGGTAATGAACCAATCATCAATTGTGAGATTTCAGCCAATTCCCAACACTAACAGACACACAAACACTGAACAGACGCTCTACACATACACACAGACATACACACTACAGACAATCATGAACATGCATGGCCACACACTATACACATGCACTCCGAGCCGACCAATCCTTGTAGCCATTAATGCCGAGCACCTGGCAGGGACTAACAAGTACCATATTTTAACGTCTTTTGGTATGCCGCGGTCGGGGATCGAACCCGCGACCTTCCGCTCTCTGGGCGGACGCTCTAACCACTACACCACAGAGGCGGTCATGGTCATTGGTAGTAATACACACATCAATGTTGCTGTGGGAAGGTTCGCTCTTACTGCTTCTGGTTTCACATTCCAATATTAGTGCTACAACTATAGTTTTAAAGATTGGAGCGCTGACATTCATCTGATAACATCAAGTGTTGCGCCTGCTGAGACAATCTGGTTTGCTTTGCCAGGGCCTGAATATTTGAAGGTTGTGGATATGCAGTTAAGGAAAGTTGAAGTTCAGCATGAATTTCTTGAAATATTTGTTGTTTTCATTTCAGGATATCATAGATGTAAATGCCTACCTCCTACCACTGACCAGCAAAATAAAACAAAGCAAAACATGCAAGCACACGCACGCACGCACGCACGCACGCACGCACGCACGCACACACACACAATCTCATCTCTCTCTAACCGCCTCCGTGGTGTAGTGGTTAGAGCGTCCGCCCGGAGAGCGGAAGGTCTCGGGTTCGATCCCCGACCGCGTCATACCAAAAGACGTTAAAATCTGGTACTTGGTGGTCCCTGCCTGGCGCTCGGCATTAATGGGTAACAAGGACTGGTTGGCTCGGAGTCAGTATAACGTGTCTGAGTGGGGTATTCATGCTTCACTGCGGCATGGTATCTCAGTGGGCTAGCACTATAAAACCAGCTTCAGTCTGGGCTAGTACAAGCAGCCGCACATACACATACACACGCATGCACGTCGTCATATGAGTGAAATATTCTCAAGCACGACGATAACTCCAATTTCACCTCACCTCACCTCACCTCATCTCTCTACTCCCCTTCCCCACGAACATACTGTGTCACATTACCAAATTGTTTTAGAAGAATAATGTGGAAAATGTACCAACCCGAGGAACAAGCAGTGATCAGCACTTGCAGAGTAAGCGCTGACCCACAGAAGCCACCATAAAGATATGAATACAAAACTAGGAAAAGACTACCACTTCCCATGCCACAGTGATGTGGGTAGGAGAGTCAAGAGTTAAATCGTTGCAGGGACAGCCTTGATGGTTCCAAAGCATCTGCCCAGTATTAAATAGAATAAAGTGTCATAGAGCAAACCATTTCAATGAGTTTCTTTGAAACTTCATATTTTCAAATGACCTAAATGTTTTAGTATATGTCCAAAGTGCACCAAAATTCTATCTGCCTTGTCTGTTTAATGCAGTCAGCACACATTCGGTGTATACCCTCGTAACATCATTCTGTCAACGTCAGTTCTACATGATCTGACTTTTGCCTTCTGTCCGTCAACCATCCAGGGTCCCGATCCACAAAGCGTTCGTAGCGCTACGACATTCGTAAGCCTATGGTAAACTATTGAGTTACGACATGTCGTAAAGTTACGAACAATTGTGGATCGGGACCCTGAACAACCAACCAGATCTTGGGATCGAAACGAACGCTCTTTGTCAAAAGCATAGATACAGTACAACCAGAAACTATTGAGAATTTAAAGATTGTAAAAAAAATTTTCACTCATTACTCACGTATTAAATGTGAATATTAGCAGAACATAACTCCAGATTCAAAGGCAGGTGAACAGTTAGTATTTTGTCAAGTCACCATGGGCAGCAATGCAGGCTTCAATGCGGTGGGGCATACTACTGATCAAAGAAGTTAGAAAGTCGTGGTCCATGCTGTCCCAATATCTGACCACCTCTTCTTTCATTTCAGCAATTTTGTCAGATTTTTCTTATTGACACTTTCTTTCATAAGTCCCCAAACATTTTCTATTGGATTTAGGACAGGGCTATAGCTTGGCCAATCTAATAATGTCCCATTTTGGGTCCGAAACCAGGCGAGTGAATGCTTTGAGCGATGTTTTGGGTCGTTGTCCTGCTGGAAAATCCAAAATGTCCATAGAACACGTGAGCAGATGGAAGTAAATGTCCCTCGAGAATATCTGTGTACCGCTCACTGTTCATATTCCCTTCAAATACACGAGGGGCGTTGCCCCTAACACAGATATGCCACCCCAAACATTAAATTTCGGACTGTACTTTGGGCGCTGATACAAAAGTTTTTCAGTGTGTTTGGTCCAGAATTTCAGTGTATTAGGAAACAGCCACACAGAACTTTCATCTGAGAAAATCACATTGTCCCAGTTAAATTTTCTATGCTGTAAGCACCAGTTCAACCTTCGCTCCTTTTGTTCAGGTTTCATGATCGGTGATGGAATTCCTCGACTTTTCTGCCAACCCATTGCATGAAGCTCAGTTCTAATTGTCTCCTTACAGACAGCCACAGTTCCTCTATCAATCATATCCAGCCTCAAGTTTTCTAAATTCTTTCGTTTGTTTTTAGAAACAAGAATACCAAGCCGCCTCCTGTCACCGACAGTCAATTTTCTGGGCCTACCTGCGCCTCCCTGGTGCTCAATGCCATATCCACTTGCAATATTTTTCAAAACACGATAAACAGTGGACAAAGGGATGCCTGTTCTACTTGAAATCACTTTAGCTCATCTGATGTCCTTGTTATAATACTCTAAAATCGACTTCCTCTTCTCTAAATCATCCATACTGAGGATCACTGAAAATGTCGTCTGCTAGCAAGTAAACAAAGGGGGATAACTCTTCACAAACTAATGAGAAAGGATTAACGGAGTTGTCTCTCTTGAATGAAACCAAGCACTTGATAGCTGGTCAAGGTTGTTTATACTAGAAATCCCATTAAACATATTCCTAAAATTCTCAATAATTTCTGGTCATACTATATGTTACATCATGTCATTTTTGTGGCCAAGCAATTTATTTTTTCACATGTTTCCAACGAAAAAGTAGGCACCGTCCACTACGAACTACTGTTTCCAGAATGAAGTCAATATTTTCAGTGACTGGGTGAACCCTTTGTAGCAAGCTGGTTACCGTCTCCCTTTGCGCGCGCCAACTTGCGAGACGGGGCCCAGCTTACCCTTTGTGCTTACTGGGTGATCATTAAAAGTTTAAAAGGTGTTCGAGCAACTAGGCCCATTTACGCCATGTCCACCACGGAGGTTTGCTAAGGTTCTAAAAATTTCATATAGTAGCAAAGCTGCCACACGCTTTAATGTATGCATGAATGACATTTTTAACTTCATGGCGAGCGATATTCCCTGAACATAATACTCCAGCCAATGAGAGGTCAATATATAGATAACTGTAAGAGATTCCACCATTGCTTTACGTTGTTTAACATATTTAACAATGCAGTAGATAAGTACATCTGGGGCCGTAGTTTCTCCTCTCTCTTTTTATGATGCATTATAAATACGATTTTGTATTACTTTTGACACATGTTCGAGTGCAAAATAACAGACAATCTTGTTTCCCTTTCAATCAAGCACACTTGGATAACGTGAGTCGAGTTGACTCTAGTTTTAATCGAATAAAACAAATTACGTCAGAGAGGATCATCATCTGTTTATGACGTCATGGCCATTCGTACATTGTGACGTCATGTTACCTTAGCTTCACAAGTAACAGCCGACCTTGATTCTTCATCCACACACGGGTATGTAGCTGTTTGCGTTTCAAGCTACCGTATTCTTATTCTCCAACAAATGAAAGATGCATTTGAATTGAACGAACCCGGTCCATTATCGAGGGCTGTCCGTCAAGTTGAATAAGAATTGTGTAAATGTCAAATATAAAAAAATCCTGAAAACATGATTTATCGATATCGTTGACCAGGGCCCCGTTCCTCGAAGCGCTACGATCGCTTTGTGAAACGGGACCCAGGATTATTATTTCGATATAGATATATATACTACTTGCTTGAATAGACACATTTATACACTAAACTACAGTCATGGGACATAAGTATTCGTCAGTCGGCAAAATTCTCATAGACTCGTGCAAAATATGAACAAGATCAAACCAAAAATAAATTCAAGACATTTTTTCTAGCTGCACCAAATTAACATGTAAGTCTATGGAAATTATGCACAGTGACGGATACTTATGTTCACTGACTGTATGTGAGAAGCACTATATATTACACTTCCAATGTTTAATGCCAGCTTTTTTTGTATAATATTGTTTCAACGGTGAACCGACATGACACTTAAATCTAGGGGTCACGCGTACTTGATATTAATTAAAAGTTTCAAGATGTTTATATGGCAATGTCACCCAAAATACATGACCAAAAATATATGTAACATGTATGAAGTCACGTTACATCTAACAGGAACTGTACAATGTACAGATTAGGAAAAGTAGGCTAATTGTTTTCTTCATATTTAAAGGTACATTTAGTGGGGCTGAATATTTAAAAAATAAATCATTTCATTTATATTTTACAACTTCATACTTAGGACAGTTAAATATGACATGAATCACATCTTCAAAAACATTACTTGCTATTAAAACAGCTTCAGCGTCACGAGATAAATGCATCTTCCCCGTCAACAGTTTGTGTTTTATGTGAGTTTAACCCCGGTGCGATATTTATGTAAAGCTTTTATCCCTATTACCTGTATGGCACACTAAAAGCACTCAGAGATTTGTTAGGGGCATTGAAGCATTGTTGGGAAACGATAACATGCATCAAGCCAGTGAGCAAGCTTGACCACAAGATCCCGTTAGTCTCCTCTTACGACAATCATTCGTTGCTGAAGACGACTTCTAATCCGAAGGTTTCGGGTGTAGTCAAGAGCCTCGTGGTCCAGGTAGCATGTATTTGGACCATTATATTTCCGAGTTGACGTGATACGTACTATATTGTTAGACATTCATGGTGGAACGGAAACAAATATTTGTTTCAGGTGTATGTTTGTTTGAACATATTTGATTCTGTGTTGAAGTGGATTGGGCACAAGTTATGTAACTTATTAGCGTCCGCTCCCATCAGAAATATGAACAATAATGAACAATAATGATTGTACGTAATGGATGGACATAATAATATTGAGACATATTATTGATTAATTGAAGCGCTTACTTCGTACAATGTATTTATGTACATGTCTAAAGATATTTTCATTGATAGTATTTGGCAGAGCAGGGTTGCCGTAAAGAATGGTATCAATGTCGAACTGAACTTTTGATAGTTCAAAGTCTTTCTTCAGATCAAAACGGCAACTGACAAATTTTGGACATTTTAAGAAGAAATGGTTAGCATTTTCCACCGGAGCACCACAATTGCAAGCTCTACTCTCTGATAGATTAACACGAAACAGATCTGCTTGTAATGAACTACACGAATATATTTGTCTTTCTTTCACCAAATAGAAATTATTTTGGAACCTTGTCCTTATTTCCAGATAACTTTGATTTAAACGATGATAATGAATTTGTACATTTTGTTGTAGAGGAGAGAGCATTCCATAGACTTGCAGAATCATAAATAAATGACTTTTGGAGAATTGAGGTGCGAAATTTAGGAACAGCCAAATCCGATTTGTTACACAAGTTGTATCCGGAAATGGATTCAGTAAAAGGTGGAAGTAAATCTATCAGGTAATCAGGAGCTTGCATGTTAACAATTTTGTAGAATGTACAGAGTTTCCTTTGTGTTCGTCTAACTTTCAATGGTAACCAACCAGTTTCACTGTATAAACTATATCTTGAAGCGAATTTAGGCAATCCGGTTACAATTCTTGCTGCTTCAAGTTGTAACATTTCAAGTTTATCACAAATATAGCTAGGGCTATTTTCCCAGACCCCAGATGCATATTCTAAAATAGGCCTAATATACATTTCGTACATACTAGAAAGGATATATCTAGGTAATACGTACTTTAGCGTCCGTAATGAGGAAACAATTTTTGCGGCCTTTTCTATTACAGCAGATACATGATGAGACCACTTTGTATTATCTGAAAAGATGACACCGAGGTGTTATTTTATTGTATGTTATCAGCCAGTCTGGAAACAGTAGTCCGTTATAATGGGCATGGCCTTTTCCTTTTCAGTTGATGGAATCATCAACAAAAATCACATTACACCGTTGTAATGTGTGTTCATGCTATTACCCATTGGTTTGCGCAAGCTATGATTCGTAATTTAATAAACGCCATGTCGCCGCTGATTGCGGCACAAATCAATACTCACTCTACTAGTTTTACTCCGCAGGCCGCAAGATATTTAAAGATGCCGCGGGGGATAGCGGAGCGCCCCGACTCAGCAGAGGACCTCGGGGAGGAGGGGAGAGAGCGACAGGAACTGGCCCGGCTGCAACGACAACTACGGCTACTGGAAGGGGACAGGCGCGCCTACACAGAGGAGACATGCAACGTCCTCATGAAACAGAAGTAAGTGGCTTGAGGAAAGGGCACCGAGATGGAGGGTGGTCTGGGGGAAGTGAGGAAAGAGTACCGGAGTACTGGTCAGTGAGGAAAAAGTGTACAAGAGTATGGAGTGGTCGAGAGGCAATACCGGACAAAAGGGTGGTTGAGGGGATAAGGGTAGAGTGTTCCAAGGTGAAGGTCGTTAAGAAGGAAATATGTAAAGATTTCCAGAGAGGTTGTGGCCGGTTGGCAATGAGGCAGTTCAGCGTTGAGGAACACAATTGTTGCGCCGTACCGTTAGTAGCTGAGGTTTCTGGGCGTCATGGCAGCCAGTCTGAGTAAACTTGGGCTCAGTATGATTCGTTGCACTGCTATACTGAGTCTAACAAAACGTAGTAGAAGGTCGCGTCAGTTAACCCTTGAGCGACCCATGACGGTCCAACCAAACACGAGACGGCCGAACGGATTTAACCAATCAGACAACGACTACTTGTTAGGGTTCGGCGGGACTTGCAAAACGGTTATGGGATTTTCTCTTCGCTAACACTGAGGGATGCTTCACAGTATAATACATTATGACAATGTATTATACTGTGAAGCATTTCGAGTCGGGGGTCTTCTCAAAAACAATATTTTCTTCACAGTATAATACATTGTCATAATCTTTAATCTTTAATCCTCGCAAAGACACGAGGGTCTGTGCTTCTACTAGGTTTTCTTAGACTCAGTATAGCAGTGTAACGAATTATACTGAGCCTAAGTTTACTTAGAAGTCTGTCATGGCAGCCAAACCAAGAAGAGATTGACAGTGGACTTCTGATTGTCTCAAAAACACGTGCGCCTTTTAATGTGCATTCACGATGCACTGAACGTCATACTGATGATTTGTGAAGGTCTTGATGGCCTAAAAAGACTATGTTCATGATCTTGAGGTATCGTACATATCCGTTCGATCTTTTGTGCGATTTTGAGCTCATTTCATCGGGAGGTAATTAGAGGACTGTCCTAAAATCATGTGATTTTGTTTTTGTTGAGTTTTCGTTTTTTTCTTCTTTTTCTGTTTATGGTTTTTGTTTTAAATTTAAATTAAATTTTATTTATTTCATATATTTTATATATATTTATTTTATTCCATTTTCTATTTTATTTTACATTTTTTTCTTCTATTTTGGAAGGGGGACAGGGGCAAACTAGATATGGCTGATGAAACTTTGAAGAGAATCGTTGAAAATGTAATCATTATGTTTCACCTCATCGAAGCACTATTGATATGTAACGCCTGTTGTGGGTCACGTGACAAGAATGTAAGCCTGTGCGCAGGTCGGTGATCCGGGCCCTGCAGCAAGAGAACGGCGAGATGACAACAGTCCTGCGTCTGTCTCAGAGCGACAGGAACGAGATGAAGGATGAGGACAACACATCTCGCCTGCAGGAACTAACTGAGGCTGTGGATACCTTCAGCTCTCAGTGTGACACGGAGCACAGCAAGATCGCCCAGCTACACTCAGAGGTGTTTGTTTGTTTGTTTGTTTGTTTGTTTGTATTTTAGCTATATGGCGGCGGCCTGTATATAACCTTGTCTGCACAGACAATCCAGTGATTGACGTAATGAGCATCGATGTACGGAATCAGGAGACGATCAGTAACGACACTGAAAATGTAAGCTGGTTGTCAGCGGGATTTGTCTTAGTGGTCCAAGCGACAGAGTTAACGGAACTTGGCTCTGTGTGTCTCTGTGTGTCTGTGTGTGGGGGGGTGGGGTGGTGGGTTTGTTTCTTGGCTTAGCTGACCTAGCGACAGAGTATTTGTAACTTGGATGTGGGCGTGTCTTGTTTTAGCTGAACTAGCGACAGAATAGATGTAATTTAGGTGTGGGCGTGTCTCGACTAAGTGGCGCTGGCGACAAAGTGTATGTAACTAGGGCTATGGGAGGGACATACCTTAGATGAGGTGGGCACAACAGAAGTAACTTGAGAGTCGGACACTTTGTTCCCAGCTGGTCAGAGTTCAGACAGACATCTGCCACCAAAGGAGTCTCAATGGCAGCAAATCGGGACCCATCATGTACAAGATGATGCTGAAGAAGACAAAGGTCATAGAGAACAGACACGACAAGGTCAGTTGTGGCCAGGGTGTGGTGCCCGTTTCGCGAAGCGATCTTAGAGCTAAGGTTGTCAGTCGTAACTCTTAAACTTTGATATAGAAGAATAACAGCCTAAGAGCGCTTTTGGAGCAGGGCCTTGCTCCAGACAGGACTCTTAGCGCTAAGTTGTCGTAACTCTTAAACTTTAATATAGAAGAATAACAGCCTAAGAACGCTTTTGGAGCAGGGCCTTGCTCCAGACAGGACTCTTAGCGCTAAGTTGTCGTAACTCTTAAACTTTAATATAGAAGAAAAACAGCCTAAGAGCGCTTTGTGGAGCACGGCCTGGGTCACATTTCACAAAGCCATCGTAGCGCTCACATTTCACAAAGCCATCGTAGCGTGATCGTGATCGTACCTCCCATACTTTAACATAGACTTACGACAGCCGTAGCGCTAAGGTGATCGTACCACCCATACTTTAACATAGACTTACGACAGCCGTAGCGCTACGGTCGCTTTGTGGAGCACGACCTGGCTCCACAAGTAGATAAATGTTAGTTGTTTGGGCGCTAAGGCAGGTTGTAACCCACATACTTTAACGTAGACCCGCAGCAGTACTAGGCGGCAGCACTAAGGGTTCTTTGTAAAACGAGACCCCAGGTCACAGAGATAAATAAACTAGTGTCAGATTTGTCTTACAACTCATCAGGTGCATTTTGAAACAACTCCTTGTAAGGTAACTGATAACTGACAGACACTCGTCTACGAATCCCCACCGCCCAGGGCCCCGTTTCACAAAGATCTCGTAGCGCTACGACTATCGTAAGTCAAAGTTACAGAATAGGAAGTACGAATACTACGAGAAAGGTTACGAGATCTTAGACTTACGAGGTCTTTGTGAAACGGGGCCCTGGTATGTGTATGATAAAAGCATAGTAATAAAAAAACGATTATAAAGAAGATTCTTTTTGTCATTAACAACTGTTTTACTGAAACCAAATAATAGTTTGAAGAGTTCATGAGCTAATACAAACATGACACATATTTAATAAATGCACCTTAAGTTTCTACGATTTCACTGAAGGGACAAGTTCTTACATCAGGTGTAGGCGTTATGCCGTACAGTCCAGTTTCAATGTGCAGTGGGATGGATCCGCATCGATACATAGATATCTATCCATATCTATATAGGGGCGGTGGGGTAGCCTAGTGGTTAATGCGTTCGTTCGTGAAGCCGAAGACCCGGGTTCGATTCCCCACATGGGTACGATGTGTGAAGCCCATTTCCGGTGAGCCCCCACCGTGATATTGCTGGAATATTGCTAAAAGCGGCGTAAAACCAAACTCAGTCAGTCAGTATATAGGGGCGGTGGGGTAGCCTAGTGGTTAAAGCGTTCCTTCGTGAAGCCGAAGACCCGGGTTCGATTCCCCACATGGGTACGATGTGTGAAGCCCATTTCCGGTGAGCCCCCACCGTGATATTGCTGAATATTGCTAAAAGCTGCGTAAAACTAAATTCATTCAGTCACGATATCTATATAGAATATCATTTAAAAAATAACACAGTTGTCATGAGTGAAGCCATCCGGCTTACTGCCGTCTGACCATGTCTGGCGTGGCCTTCCACCCAAAATATTTTTGAACAGACATATCTGTGACTTGTCAAGGCGATGTTTATATTGCAAACTAGATAACATACACTTATTAATACTCAGACACCACAGATCTTCGACACGTTGGTGAATTCGACTGAAGTGCAAGTACCAATGATTTACAATCAATATAGGGGCATATTAAGTGCACGTATTATTTATAAGGTTCGATTCCATAAGTTCTTTCACGTATTATTTATAAGGTTCGATTCCATAAGTTCTTTCACATATCTGAAAGAACTTATGGAAACGAACCTTATAAATAATACGTGATGCCGTCAACAATAATAACTTTCTACTTATTTATTTATTAACACATAAACCCCACATTTTCTTATCATTTCATGATATTGGTGGAATTAAAATGCACAAGTAATTGAAGCAACAAACTGAAATCAATGACATAGTCCTGTCACTCATGCGACACAAGCCGCGCCCATTCCATTTTCAGCCAATCAGGTAACAATAGGGCATTAGTGGGCGCGGCTTAGTTGTTGTTTTGAGCTCATGGAAACAAACGACAGGGAAGAAAGGGATTTGAGCAGCAGTTTCGATTTAAATTAAGGTTTTTGACCGCTGCTGAAATGACTGTTTTCGTTTGCTTAGGTTTCCTGTCTTTTGCACGGATCTCTTCTTGATATAACCAAAATTAATTCAAAGAGTCACTAAACCCATCACACACATCTTACTCTAGGCTATGGTCAAGTTCAACAACCAGCTGGCGGTGAATACCCGTCTCCGCGAGGAGATCGACCACCTCCGACAGGAGAAGTCCGTGTTTGACACCCTATTCCGGAAGCTCAACACTGACCTGGAAGACATGCGCAAAGACATGTCACTCATCATCGAAGAAGCGTCTCAGGCGTATGAGGAAAGGTATGCATAGTAAATATAGTAGAATGTGTGGTACGTATGGAATCCCAGAAGGGACAATGTCGCATTGTTGACCTTTCAAAAACAATCAAAAAGTGTCAAAATGTACCAAAGCGCGACAATGAGTCAACGCGATAATGTACATTCTGGAATTCCAAAGGTACGCGTTAAAGGAATTCATCGGGCGATTCCCAAAGGCTGGGAGATCTGTAGTAACACGTGACGTCACGGTGGGTGTGTCAGTCTGCACAGGACAGCAGGTGGCCTATTCAGGAAAACGTCTCAGCGCCAAGTTTTGCGCGTGAAGGTGTTGAAAACGACAATCCTCAACACATAAAAGGGTATTTGGACTGACTTTGCAGTGTCTTTGCACTGAGTATCTTAATGTACTCACCCAAGAACCCAGTCACTCAAGTACTCTCATTCATTCATTCACTCACTCGCACAAGCATTCACTCACTCACTCACTCAAGCACTCATTCAAACACGCCCTCACTCAAGTTCGCCATCAGACTCACTCACTCACGCACACAAGCACGCCCTTGTGAAAATATTGTTAATGCAAACAAGTGTTCAAAGATTGGTCGTGTTCGATTATGATAAAACATGTTGATTGCTTGGTCGTTTAGTCACTGCGACCAATCTTCGATTATTTCAATTAATCGGACCACCACTAGTTCTCACTCACTCACGCACACAAGCACGCCCTCACTCACTCACTCACTGTGGCAGGGACGAGGCGTACAACAAGATGCTGGCGCTGAAGGAGAGGAGCGAGAAGGACACGGCGCAGCACGAGATGGAGATGCGGGAGCTCCAACGCATCATCGAGCACGACAACAAGCTGAAGGAGTTCATGATGATCAAGTCCAACGACCGCGGCGAGTACAAGGAGGAGGAGGACGCCAAGAAGAAGAAGGGCAGTAAGTGGAGCAGGGCAGACAGTAGCGGGTAGACAGCTGATGATCACATTGTAGACCGATGATATGAACATGACGATTAGACGGCTGTGGAGTATGTACCGGTAGACAACTGATGACCACAACATAGTGAGTTAACGGCTGCAGAGTATATGCCTGTACACCACTGCAGACCACATAGTAGACATGTGCTTACTATAGAGTAGACAAATGTTGGCCATAAGTGAGTCATCATTAGTGAAATTTGCATAGACCTACATGAAAATTAACTCCTTGCAAGAATAATTTTCATCAAATTGAGTAGAAGTCATTTTATTCTGATATTTTGCAAACATCTTGGAAATCATCTTCAGCCACGTGTACATAATTTTCTTTCATCTTTCCGTTCATTGGTTATCGAATGACACCTGATTAAGCACCGTATATAAGTACAATTTGTGTAATCTATCCCATAGACAGCCATGTTAAACCCGATTGGTCTGTCTAAAATTAGAAGATAAAGCTACTCTGTTTTCAATTTTGTGGTCCGTTATCGTTGATTTAAGACCGCTAAATGTAATTTAAAAACCGAACGCGTGTTTTAAATTACATTTAGCGGTATTAAATCAACGATAAAGGACCGCAAAATTGAAAACAGAGTAGCTTTATCTTCATTCTAACACGACTGATAAGCGTTTTAAAACCGAACTGTTTGGCGCCCAAGAACACAAGGCGTGAGTGGGGGCCTTTTCCTGGAAATCGCTTGGAATCGTCCTGTTCAGGGACAGGTTGTGTAATGAGCAAAATAAAACATTTTCAACAACATCAATGCTTTATTTCAGGAACAAGTATGATTGGTATTTGTAACAAGTAGCATACATAAATAAAAAATACAGTTTATATTGTGAGCAAAGTACAATTATTTGATTTTCTCAAGCGAATTATTGATCTCCCCTACTGTATGACAATCGACTCGCCCAATGCAAGCTGTGAACTCGCTAAGTTTAGTCGCCGCTAACTCTATTCACGGAAATAATTGTTGATAACCACCCTACTATTCCCAATTTGAAAAAGACCCTGACATGCCACGTTTTATGTGGGATACATGGACGAGTGGAAGTGGAAGTGGAAGGACTGGGCATTACGGCCGGGACGGAAGCGGTCAGGTTAGGGATGTGTGGGCCGACGTGTGTTGTCGACGTCATGCCCGCTAGATCTGGACCCGGCTTGAATATACTGCCGCTTTTGCGCTGCTGACGGATTTTCCAGCTTCGTAGTTTCTTCACTGGGATTAAAGGGTCAAGGAATTCTTCTGCAAACCATTCGCTTTAACTTCAAAACACCAAAGATGCAGCCGAGGTAGAAATTGCCAATGTCCGACATTTCTGTTTACAAACAATAGGGTCAACGAGTTCGTTGTATTCATACGCAGTGAATCAGTCACTTTCATTAGCGGTCTTAAACTGCCATTTAAGTACGGTTTTGATGAACACTCAGCCAATCAGAATCGAGTATCACACAATGTCGTGCTAGAATGTACAGGATATCGACTTTGAAATGAGGAAATGTTCCTGCATAAAGTATACAAAGATATATCTGCAATGGAATTACGAAAGCTCAATAAGGGGAATTCTGACTCGCATTCATGCTCAATATTCAATTAAAGAACCACTAAACTTTGTTTTTGTTACTCTTTAACCATTACATATGAAAGATTTGTGGTTAGTCTTATGCGGAACACCAAATGTATTCTTTAAAAACTTGTGGTTAATTAATACCGAGCGATTAAAAGTGGCCAAAAAGTCGCCTGCTTCCCTCTCGCCCGCCAACGAAACCACAGACAGGTTACGTAACTCTGTCGCCAGAGCACTGCAGTGACGTCATATGAGGAACGATTTTCAGTTAGTTGTATAGAAAATGTGTAGCACGCTCATCATTTTGATGATTTCTCGACATCAACGACGACATGCCGAATCGTTGCTTTGTCGTCAATTGCTCCTAGGGGTCGGGCGATGGTGTCCCCATGCACAGATTTCCACAGGACCCCACAGTTCGTGCTAAATGGGTTATGTTTGTGAGTGCGAAGCGAGCGTTGTGGAAGCCTGAAACGATATCTTACTTGTGTTCAGATCGCTTCACGGAAGTTAAAGAATCAAAACTACTTACTAGTTGTAGTAAAATATGCATACGATTGATGACCATAAAGATTTTCTATGACTTTAACTTGTAACATAACGATTTCTTCCTCGGAAGTGAGGTTGTGGTCGAAGTAACAATAATATTGTAAGTAGTATTATATTGATTACACCACCTCGCTGCCACGAGAGAAATTGTTATGATATACGCTATGTCATGCAAAATCCTATTGGCCATCAATAAAATATACATATTTTATTACCAGTAGAAAGTAGTTTTGATTTTTCAACTCGGTGAAAACAAACATAAATACCATTTATCCCTCAGACTGGCGGATGTTCCCGACAGGCGCCGCCATTTTAAAAATAAAAAATCTGTTAGAATTAATGAGATTATAGTTTGTTTTCACTGCTAAGAAAATCAAGACTACTTTCATAGTTAAATATGTATTGGAATCATAAACAAACGGATTTTGCATGACACAACTTATAACATAACGATTTCTTTCCGAGGAAGCGAGGTTGGGGTCGAAGTCACAATACTGCGCGATAAATTTCTTGACTCACCAGTATGTAGATACTAGTCAATGTGCGTCTTTATATTTGGTCTTATAATCCTAATTAGTTTTATTATCATAATTTGTATGCATTTTGAAACTAAATAAAAAGCAGACGATCTGCTGATACTTATAGTGAATTTATAACAGAACTGTAATATCTAGACATTTTATAGTTTGCCACATGAATCATAATTACAATACATCCTAGTGCATGTTGTCTGTCTCATTACACTTCACGGCGAAAACAATGATTCTGTTGAATGCTACGACAAAACGAATAAAAACAAAAATGCAAATATTAAAATTAAAACAGTTAAAATTATAGGAACAATATCAGGCCATTACCTTGTTCGAGGAATGTATCCATCAATATCCACAAAACTGTTCCAAAATGATGTGTCTTTAAACAGCTTTAATATACGAAAAGTGATAAATCTTTTTCAGGTATTGGTGTATAGTCTCATTGGTCACCCAAGATAGCACACCTGGCAACTAATTGTAAAATGTCCGGGCCTTTTAAAAAAACAGTAATTTAGTTAGCCAATAATGGGCAATCAATCAATGTATTGCCGGTTAATCCTTTTGAAAGAAGGACGTTGTTTTACGCAGACACCGACACGACAGAGTGTATTCAGTATAAATTAGTAAATCTACATACATAAACACTACCTTTGACAATTCTAGCTGTAAGATAAAAGTAATTAATCAATCAGCGTGTTATCGGTTAATCCTTTGATCGATGTTTATAATGTTGAATATTTACTCCAGACACAAGAAATGCCAAATGGGAACCTTTGTCGGTAATCTAAGTGTGTTACCACTAATTATACCTGTTATAAATTCATTAACTGACCATCAGTGAATGATGATGAAATAACATGTGTAGGTTTATACCACCTAACACGGGTTACAACGAGGGAGTATTAATTGCTGTATTGTACGTGAAAACTTATGGGCCGGACACTGTTTTGAGAATACAAACACACGTAGACCGTCTAGGCTACATAGTAGACTGATGCTTACAGCATAGCGAGTAGAAGGCTGATGATTAATACCGACGGACTGTAAATAAACAAATTGGAACAGGCAATCTAGTGACTGATATCATGAGCATCGAATTTAGTAACGGAGATACGACTGCATCAACCACGTCAGCGGGCCAGACCGCCCGTTCCCTGCAAACAATACAGCGTGTAGACTAATACGAATAAAACAGTAGGGTTACCTGACTTGTTCAGAGCCCCTGTGTTTTCCTAACGCATGGAAAAAACCTGTCCAGTCTGTAATTGTGAGGCTGTTTCTTTGGCAACGTTACATTTTTGGTTGATTTTGTTTATTTTCTAAAAACAAGTTGCAAAATCTAAATTAAGACTACTCCAGTCTAGGTAAACCCCACCCATTCTGACACGGAGTTGTGGATGTCTGACAAAGTGAGTTTAGTTTTATGCGGCAATATCGGGGACACCAAATATGGGCTTTACACATTGTACCCATGTGGGAAATCGAACCCGGTTTTTCGACGTGACGAGCGAAAGTTTTAACCACTGGGCTACCCCACCGCTCCAGTTATAGATGAGATGCTTGGCTGATGCCTTTCCGTTGCTTGCAGTGAAGGGAGAGCGAGACGTAGACATCGAGAATAACCAGATCTTGACGTACGAGGAGGCATTCGCCGAGATACGGGAAGCCACGGGGGAGGATGACATCTTCAAGATCATGACCGAGTTCCTGCGGCGGGAGGACGAGAACTTCGCCCTGTTCAACTACGTCAATGAGCTGAACGATGAGGTGGATAAGCTTCAGGAAGAGATTGGGTTGATGAAGTCGGAAATCGTCCGTTTTGAGGAGGAGGATGTTCAGATGGAAGCTGAGAGGAAGGTTTGGCTGAAGGAGCTGGAGGTGAGGGGTCGGGAGCGAGACGCGCGTGTTAAAGGCGGAGGATGGGGGTGGGTGGGTGGAGGTCTGGCTGAAGGAGCTGGAGGTGAGGGGTCGGGGAGCGGGACGCGCGGGTTAAAGGCGGATGAGGGGGAGGGGGCTGGGGATCTCTATCTGAAGGAGCTGGAGGTAAGGGTGTGACGGAGCGAGACGCGATGAAGGGGAAGATGGGACTGAGGAGAGAGGTCTGGCTGACCGTTGTCTTTGTAAACCATTACTGTTGGCTGTCTTCAGCTATGACTTCACTCCGACTTTTCGTCCCAAAATTCAAATGATGTCAACAATACACTTGTTTACGAGTCATATTTGCTAAAGTACACATTTTTTAACTCGATTATTTCTTGTGGGTAATTAATAGAGTAACCTACTTGCCCTCTTAATTGACACTAAAGCAAGGATACAGGTCTATATGATACATAAAGAAAATTACATAACTTAACGTCCTCAAATATAAGGGAGGCATTGCAGATAAAGCTTTCCATGAAAATCGTGTTTTACCAAAGTTTACCAAATATAATCGGGAAGCGTGCCCAAGGGACGTAACTCTACATAGAGAAGGGAGCCTCAGTTAGCTTGACCACCCATGCCCCTATTTTCCCATGGTATTCATATGAATAACTTAGTACTGATCCGAACACCTACAGGACAAGAGCACCCAGTCGGGGAAGGAGGCAGATGTAGCGGACAAGAAGATCATGGAGATGTCACAGGTTCTGGACGAGCTGACGGATGGAGTTACCTCCCTGTTCCGCTGCCTGGGCTGCAACAGGACCCCCATCAACGAGATGCTGGGCAGCGAGGCGGGCGTCACGGAGAAGAACATTCTTCTATACATGGGCATCATCGAGCAGCGGACGATGGAGCTTCTGCACCTGCAACACTTCATAGACATGAGGGTCAGTTGTTGGAGAATGGGAGGAGTGAGTGAGGTTTGGTTTACACAGCTTTCAGCAATATTCTTGCAATATTGCGGCAACCAGAAATGTGCTCCAGGGAAATGGGAATGAAACCCGGACCTCCGCTGTAACACTCAAACTCTTTAACCACTTGGGTGCTCCACTACAACTGAGATTGAAGGGAGGAGAAGGGCGGAAAGGAGGGAGAGGTGTGGAATGGAAGTGGTACGGAAGTAGGACACTAGGATTTGTGTGGGGATGTATTTATGTAGGTGACATGTTTGGTCTGTATTTGAAAGCGTTCACACATTGTGTCCGATTCTCTTCAACATGGTTTAATGTTGCAGAATTTAACTCCCGAGAAGGAAAAGGAGAAAGGAAAAGAGGGAAAGACAAAGGAGCCAGATATGAAGAAGTTCCGCCGACCTCCCGCCACATTCACTGTTACTATAGCCCCTCCGGGTCTTGGGTAGGTAGTTCCACCACCAACACTGTCAATATAGCCCCTCCAGGTCTTGGGTAGGTAGTTCCACCACCAACACCGTCACTATAGCCCCTCCAGGTCTTTGGTAGGTAGTTCCACCACCAACACCGTCACCAGGTACCGCCACCAATAGCCCCTCCAGGTCTTGGGTAGGTAGCTCCCTCTACCAACACCGTCACTATAGCCCTCCTCCAGGTCTTGGGTAGGTAGTTCCACCACCAACACCGTCACTATATTCAAGGTCTTGGGTAGGTAGTTCCTCCACCAACACCATCACTATAGCCCCTCCAGATCTTGGGTATGTAGTTCCACCAGCACTGTCACTATAGCCCCTTCAGGTCTTGGGTAGGTAGTTCAAACACCAACAGTCACTATAGCCCCTCCAGGTCTTGGGTAGGTAGTTCCAACACCAACACAGTCACTATAGCCCCTCCAGGTCTTGGGTAGGCAGTTCCACCACCAACACCGTCACTATAGCCCCCCAGGTCTTGGGTAGGTAGTTCCCACAACAACACCAGTCACTATCGCTCCTCCAGGTCTTGGGTAGATAGTTCCCGCAACCAACACCGTCACTATAGCTCCTCAAGGTCTTGGGTAGGTAGTTCCCGCAACCAACACCATCACTATAGCCCCTCCGGGTCTTGGGTAGGTAGTTCCCACCACCAACACTGTCACTATAGCCCCTCCAGGTCTTGGGTAGGTAGCTCCCGCACCCAACACTGTCACTATAGCCCCTCCGGGTCTTGGGTAGGTAGTTCCACCACCAACAGTCACTATAGCTCCTCCGGGTCTTGGGTAGCTAGTTCCACCACCAGCACCGTCACTATAGCTCCTCCGGGTCTTGGGTAGGTAGTTCCCGCAACCAAACTCCATCACTATAGCCCTCCAGGTCTTGGGTAGGTAGTTCCTCCACCAACACCGTCACTATAGCCCCTCCCTCCAGGTCTTGGGTAGGTTGCTCCCTCTACCAACACCGTCACTATAGCTCCTCTAGGTCTTGGGTAGGTAGTTCCACCACCAACACCGTCACTATAGCCCCTCCAGGTCTTGGGTAGGTAGTTCCCTCCACCAACACCATCACTATAGCCCCTCCAGGTCTTGGGTAGGTAGTTCCACCACCAACACCATCACTATAGCCCCTCCAGGTCTTGGGTAGGTAGTTCCACCACCAACACCATCACTATAGCCCCTCCAGGTCTTGGGTAGGTAGTTCCACAACCAACACCATCACTATAGCCCCTCCGGGTCTTGGGTAGGTAGTCCCACAACCAACACCGTCACTATAGCCCCTCCGGGTCTTGGGTAGGTAGTTCCCACCACCAACACCGTCACTATAGCCCCTCCAGGTCTTGGGTAGGTAGTTCCACAACCAACACCGTCACTATAGCCCCTCCGGGTCTTGGGTAGGTAGTTCCACAACCAACACCATCACTATAGCCCCTCCGGGTCTTGGGTAGGTAGTTCCACCACCAACACCGTCACTATAGCCCTCCAGGTCTTGGGTAGGTAGTTCCCACAACCAACACCATCACTATAGCCCTCCAGGTCTTGGGTATGTAGTTCCACCAACACCGTCACTATAGCCCCTCCAGGTCTTGGGTAGGTAGTTCCACTCCAACAACACCATCACTATAGCTCCTCCAGGTCTTGGATAGGTAGTTCCGCAACCAACACCGTCACTATAGCCCCTCTGGGTCTTGGGTAGGTAGTTCCACCACCAACACCGTCACTATAGCTCCTCTGGGTCTTGGGTAGGTAGTTCCACCACCAACACCGTCACTATAGCTCCTCCAGGTCTTGGGTAGGTAGTTCCACCACCAACACCGTCACTATAGCTCCTCCGGGTCTTGGGTAGGTAGTTCCACCACCAACACCGTCACTATAGCTCCTCCAGGTCTTGGGTAGGTAGTTCCCGCAACCAAACACGTCACTATAGCCCTCCAGGTCTTGGGTAGGTAGTTCCACCACCAACACCGTCACTATAGCCCCTCCAGGTCTTGGGTAGGTAGTTCCCACCACCAACACCGTCACTATAGCTCCTCCAGGTCTTGGGTAGGTAGTTCCACCACCAACACCGTCACTATAGCCCCTCCGGGTCTTGGGTAGGTAGTTCCCGCAACCAACACCGTCACTATAGCCCTCCGGGTCTTGGGTAGGTAGTTCCCACCACCAACACCGTCACTATAGCCCCTCCGGGTCTTGGGTAGGTAGTTCCCGCAACCAACACCGTCACTATAGCCCTCCAGGTCTTGGGTAGGTAGTTCCACCACCAACACCGTCACTATAGCCCTCCAGGTCTTGGGTAGGTAGTTCCACCACCAACACCGTCACTATAGCTCCTCCAGGTCTTGGGTAGGTAGTTCCACCACCAACACCGTCACTATAGCCCCTCCAGGTCTTGGGTAGGTAGTTCCCACCACCAACACCGTCACTATAGCCCCTCCGGGTCTTGGGTAGGTAGTTCCACCACCAACACCGTCACTATAGCCCCTCCAGGTCTTGGGTAGGTAGTTCCACCACCAACACCGTCACTATAGCCCCTCCGGGTCTTGGGTAGGTAGTTCCACCACCAACACCGTCACTATAGCCCTCCAGGTCTTGGGTAGGTAGTTCCCGCAGCCAACACCGTCACTATAGCCCCTCCAGGTCTTGGGTAGGTAGTTCCCGCAACCAACACCGTCACTATAGCCCCTCCAGGTCTTGGGTAGGTAGTTCCACAACCAACACCGTCACTATAGCTCCTCCAGGTCTTGGGTAGGTAGTTCCACAACCAACACCGTCACTATAGCCCTCCAGGTCTTGGGTAGGTAGTTCCCGCAACCAACACCGTCACTATAGCCCCTCCAGGTCTTGGGTAGGTAGTTCCACCACCAACACCGTCACTATAGCTCCTCCAGGTCTTGGGTAGGTAGTTCCACCACCAACACCGTCACTATAGCCCCTCCGGGTCTTGGGTAGGTAGTTCCCTCCACCAACACCGTCACTATAGCCCCTCCAGGTCTTGGGTAGGTAGTTCCACCACCAACACCGTCACTATAGCCCCTCCAGGTCTTGGGTAGGTAGTTCCCTCCACCAACACCGTCACTATAGCCCTCCAGGTCTTGGGTAGGTAGTTCCACCACCAACACCGTCACTATAGCTCCTCCAGGTCTTGGGTAGGTAGTTCCACCACCAACACCGTCACTATAGCCCTCCAGGTCTTGGGTAGGTAGTTCCACCACCAACACCGTCACTATAGCCCTCCAGGTCCTAGGCCACCAACATGTGTATAAGGTCTCTGGGTAGGTTGTTCTGGAACACCGTCACTATAACAGTCGGCGTAGTTCAAACCAACACTCACTATAGTCCCTCCGGGTCTTGGGTAGGTAGTTCCACCACCAACACCGTCACTATAGCTCCTCCAGGTCTTGGGTAGGTAGTTCCACCACCAACACCGTCACTATAGCTCCTCCAGGTCTTGGGTAGGTAGTTCCCGCAACCAACACCGTCACTATAGCCCCTCCGGGTCTTGGGTAGGTAGTTCCACAACCAACACCGTCACTATAGCCCCTCCAGGTCTTGGGTAGGTAGTTCCCGCAACCAACACCGTCACTATAGCCCTCCAGGTCTTGGGTAGGTAGTTCCACCAACCAACACCGTCACTATAGCCCCTCGGGTCTTGGGTAGGTAGTTCCCGCAACCAACACCGTCACTATAGCCCCTCCGGGTCTTGGGTAGGTAGTTCCCGCAACCAACACCGTCACTATAGCCCCTCCAGGTCTTGGGTAGGTAGTTCCACCACCAACACCGTCACTATAGCCCCTCCGGGTCTTGGGTAGGTAGTTCCACCACCAACACCGTCACTATAGCCCCTCCAGGTCTTGGGTAGGTAGTTCCACCACCAACACCGTCACTATAGCCCTCCAGGTCTTGGGTAGGTAGTTTAACCAACACTTCACTATAGCCCTTTGGGTCTTGGGTAGGTGAGTAGTTCACTCAAACACTGTCACAGGAAAATGCATTTCCAGAATAAACTGAAATCAATAGGTTAAACTCATACTTAGTAGACAATTTGAGTTTGGTGAATAGATTACTTAAGTTAAACATGCAGTTGAGTTAATAATTAGCTGTTTCAAATTGTCAAGCCCTCAGTCTTGAGGTATTTGACCAAAACTAGCCCCTCCGAGTCTCAGGTATTAGTTGAGAAATCGGGGCCTGGTCTTGGGTAGGTAGTTCCACCACCAACACCGTCACTATAGCCCCTCCAGGTCTTGGGTAGGTAGTTCCACCACCAACACCGTCAATATAGCCCCTCCAGGTCTTGGGTAGGTAGTTCCACCACCAACACCGTCACTATAGCCCCTCCGGGTCTTGGGTAGGTAGTCCCTCCACCAACAGTCACTATAGCCCCTCCGAGTCTTGGGTATGTAGTTCCACCACCAACACCGTCACTATAGCCCCTCCGAGTCTTGGGTATGTAGTTCACCACCAACAGTCACTATAGCCCCTCCGAGTCTTGGGTATGTAGTTCACCACCAACAGTCACTATAGCCCCTCCGAGTCTTGGGTATGTAGTTCACCACCAACAGTCACTATAGCTCCTCCGAGTCTTGGGTAGGTAGTTCACCACCACAGTCACTATAGCCCCTCCGAGTCTTGGGTATGTAGTTCACCACCAACAGTCACTATAGCCCCTCCGAGTCTTGGGTGTGTAGTTCCCGCAACCAACACCGTCACTATAGCTCCTCCAGGTCTACGGTAGGTAGTTCCGTCCACCGAAACCAAAGATGGGTAGGTACTTTCCGACGATCTTTGTACCGGTCGAAATCCTCGGTGATCTTGGTTGAACCTGTGTTTGGATTGGTCATTCTTTGAACTACTTGACCTGTGTTGTGCTGGGGGAAAACTAAGGGAAGAACTGCAGACTTGTTGATACCGCCCGAAACAACATTCTCTCACGCCTTGGGTACTAATCTTTATTTCCTTAATCAGAGAACTTAAAATATAAACTGAACGACAATATGTGGTTATGAATTATTTTACTATCTGATTTGGTTGGTTGTTGATTTTGTTGTGTTACACCCACTCAGCAACCATGTTTAACAGATACTCATTAATGTGTTTGCTGGTTGTTCAAAGCCTCTCTCAGCAATATTTCAGCTAGATTTCGGCAGTGTGTAAATAATCCAGTCTTGACCAGACAATCCAGTGATTGCCATCATGAGCATCGACACACGCAGTTGGGATCCGATGACACAGACGTCAAGGCGAATCTGACCACCTGATCTCGTTAGTCGCTTGTTAAAACAACCACAGTCGCCTCTAACATTACAAGCATGAGTTACTGAAGACCAATTCTAACCCAGATCTTCACGGGTCTTCTGCTTTTCATGCTGAAATATATTTGCAGGGAAGAAGAAGATTTGAATGAGCTTAATGAAGAAACTGAACTCCGTCCTATGAGCCATGAGGAACTCAAGCAAATGGTGATGAAACGCATCAACAGATCAACCGGAAATACGCAGTCATTCAATTCCACTCCGGTTAAGTCCCCTCGAGTACCAAAGGTCGAGGTCACTCAGCCAAAATAATCTGTCATTGCAAACTACAAGAATGTGCATGTGCAATAAAACTGATTGTTATATTTGTTATACCCTCCAGGTCTTGGGTAGGTAGTTCCACCACCAACACCGGTCACGAGTGAATTGGTGGTTATAGGCCCTCCAGGTCTTGGGTAGGTAGTTCCAGTATTTTGACCAACACTGTCACTATAGCCCCTCCAGGTCTTGGGTATGTAGTCCCTCCAGGTCTTGGGCAGGTAGTTCCACCACCAACACCGTCACTATAGCCCTCCAGGTCTTGGGTAGGTAGTTCCGCCACCAACACTGTCACTATAGTCTCTTGGGTAGGTAGTTCCACCACCAACACTGTCACTATAGTCCCTCCGGGTCTTGGGTAGGTAGTTCCCACCACCAACACCGTCACTATAGCCCTCCGAGTCTTGGGTATGTAGTTCCACCACCAACACCGTCACTATAGCCCCTCCGGTCTTGGGTATGTAGTTCACCACCAACACCGTCACTATAGCCCCTCCGAGTCTTGGGTCACTATGTGTAGTTCACCACCAGTCACCAAGCCCACCGAGTCAGTTCACCACCAACAGTATAGTCCCTCCGAGTCTTGGGTATGTAGTTCACCACCAACAGTCACTATAGCTCCTCCAGGTCTACGGTTGGTAGTTCCACAACCAACACCATCACTATAGCCCCTCCGAGTCTTGGGTATGTAGTTCCACAACCAACACCGTCACTATAGCCCCTCCAGGTCTACGGTTGGTAGTTCCACAACCAACACCGTCACTATAGCCCCTCCGAGTCTTGGGTAGGTAGTTCCCGCAACCAACACCGTCACTATAGCCCCTCCGGGTCTTGGGTGTGTAGTTCCCTCCACCAACACCGTCACTATAGCTCCTCCAGGTCTACGGTAGGTAGTTCCGTCCACCGAAACCAAAGATGGGTAGGTACTTTCCGACGATCTTTGTACCGGTCGAAATCCTCGGTGATCTTGGTTGAACCTGTGTTTGGATTGGTCATTCTTTGTACTACTTGACCTGTGTTGTGCTGGGGGAAAACTAAGGGAAGAACTGCAGACTTGTTGATACCGCCCCAAACAACATTCTCTCACGCCTTGGGTACTAATCTTTATTTCCTTACTCAGTGAACTTAAAACATAAACTGAACGACAATATGTGGTTATGAATTATTTTACTATCTGATTTGGTTGGTTGTTGATTTTGTTGTGTTACACCCACTCAGCAACCATGTTTAACAGATACTCATTAATGTGTTTGCTGGTTGTTCAAAGCCTCTCTCAGCAATATTTCAGCTAGATTTCGGCAGTGTGTAAATAATCCAGTCTTGACCAGACAATCCAGTGATTGCCATCATGAGCATCGACACACGCAGTTGGGATCCGATGACACAGACGTCAAGGCGAATCTGACCACCTGATCTCGTTAGTCGCTTGTTAAAACAACCACAGTCGCCTCTTACAACATTACAAGCATGAGTTACTGAAGACCAATTCTAACCCAGATCTTCACGGGTCTTCAGCAGATAAGCATGGCTACTTCCCATGTGTCACAGACATACTATGGCTCATTTTTGACTTTTATCTTTTAAAATAATAACTATTGGACTACATCACGTTTTGGTAATCTGGACATTTTCACGTGTTATAATTCCTGCGTAGCAACCGTCAATTGCGTAATTGTTTAACACAGCAATTTGACATTTATCACCTTAATTGATTATCCCCTTGGCCATATTTGTCATCATTTTAACAAGTCCAAAGTCCAGGCCAGTGCTAGTGTCTCTTTACCAGTCCATTGTTGTGTCTTAGTCTGTCCATTGTTGTGTCTTAGTCTGTCCATTGTTGTGTCTTAGTCTGTCCATTGTTGTCTCTTAGTCTGTCCATTGTTGTCTCTTTGTCTGTCCATTGTTGTGTCTTAGTCTGTCCATTGTTGTGTCTCAGTCTGTCCATTGTTGTGTCTTTGTCCGTCCATTGTTGTGTCTTATTCTGTCCATTGTTGTCTCTTAGTCTGTCCATTGTTGTGTCTTAATTTGTCCATTGTTTTCTCTTAGTCTGCCCATTATTGTGTCTTAGTCTGTCCATTGTTGTGTCTTAGTCTGTCCATTGTTTTCTCTTAGTCTGTCCATTGTTGTGTCTCAGTCTGTCCATTGTTGTCTTTGTCTGTCCATTGTTGTGTCTCAGTCTGTCCATCGTTGTCTCTTTGTCTGTCCATTGTTGTGTCTCAGTCTGTCCATTGTTGTCTTAGTCTGTCCATTGTTGTCTCTTTGTCTGTCCATTGTTGTGTCTTAATTTGTCCATTGTTTTCTCTTAGTCTGCCCATTGTTGTGTCTTAGTCTGTCCATTGTTGTGGCTTAGTCTGTCCATTGTCGTGGCTTAGTCTGTCCATTGTTGTGTCTTAGTCTGTCCATTGTTGTGTCTCGACTGTCCATTGTTGTGTCTTAGTCTGTCCATTGTTGTGTCTTATTCTGTCCATTGTTGTCTCTTAGTCTGTCCATTGTTGTGCCTCGACTGTCCATTGTTGTGTCTCAGTCTGTCCATTGTTGTCTCTTAGTCTGTCCATTGTTGTCTCATAGTCTGTCCATTGCTGTGTCTCGTCCGTCCTTTTTTGTGTCTCAGTCTGTCTATGTTTTCTCTTAGTCTGTCCATTGTTGTCTCTTTGTCTGTCCATTGCTGTGTCTCAGTCTGTCCATCGTTGTCTCTTTGTCTGTCCATTGTTGTGTCTCAGTCTGTCCATTGTTGTCTTAGTCTGTCCATTGTTGTCTCTTTGTCTGTCCATTGTTGTGTCTTAGTCTGTCCATTGTTGTCTCTTAGTCTGTCCATTGTTGTCTCTTAGTCTGTCCATTGTTGTCTCTTAGTCTGTCCATTGTTGTGCCTTAGTCTGTCCATTGTTGTGCCTTAGTCTGTCCATTGTTGTGTCTTAGTCTGTCCATTGTTTTCTCTTAGTGTTCCCATTGATGTCTCTTTGTCTGTCCATTGTTGTCTATTACTATATATTATGTGTTTACATCTGTTTTGGTTGTTTGTTTTTTAACGTCGCACTCAGCAATATTCCAGATATATGGCGGCGGTATGGACATCATCGTGTTTGGACCAGACAATCCACAGAGGTTCGATCTACGCACATGAGATACTGTGACATGTGTCAACCAAGTCAGTGAACCTGACCACCAGACCCCGTTAGTCGCCTCTTACGACAAGCATGGGTTACTGAAGGTCATTTCTAACCCGGATCTTCACGTGTCCCAAAGCATGATTAACACAGTACTTAATTCTAACAGAAAGGAGAAAACATCTTGGCTAACTAACACACTGACGGTTTATGCATTCAGGTGTTGTGCGTGCGTGTATCACACTATCTGCACTGGTGACAATGAGGAGGTCAAACGTCAAACGTGCGTGTCACTGTTGGACCAGAATTACCGTCTGCTCTGTAATCTGCAAGGTTGTTCAGCTTTGTAAACTGTATCTGACATAGATTCCAACACAATATACTATCTTCCGAAGAACTGACGTCAACTCGAAACAAAACGCTGGCCAATCTGTGAAGGCACAGGTGTACAACGTCATGAAGTGCATTTTTTAAAACTGTCACTCCTTTGCAGCATATGACATAAATTCACAGCTTATATGTAGGAGCGTTAGGAGACTGACACTACTCTCAGCCATGATAGCATTTCTTGTTTTGATCGGATCTGTGGCAGTTTACGGGTGAGTCTTGTGAGTGACTATATCTGACCAGATGTGTGTTATGTGTAAGTGCTAGGAGTACAATATTTGATTGTAGTGTTTGTTTGTTTGTTTGTTGTTTAAAGAACAAATAAACTTTGTTTTTTTGGTACTCTTTTAATTATTACATATGAAAGATTTGTGGTTAGTCACTAGCGTCTGGCTCGAACAAATAAGGCCTAGCGACATCAAGCGATTTTGACAGAATCGTCTATGAAAACAAGTTGTAACTCGGAAACTAGGCAAAGCAGGAGACAAAATCAAATGACAGTAGATTGTGAGAACATATAGCTTTCATTTTCCACAACAGTTGTCACGATTTCAGGTTTATACAAACCTGTAAACAAGATAATCTACCCCCTGAAATGTACATGAATTCTACATAGGCCCTCATATCTATTCCTCATATGACGTCACAGAGACGCGCCGCTCTGATTGGTTGAAATTTCGTTCGCGGGTGAGGATTGTGCACTGTTGTCAAAAAGGTCGATTTAAGTTAATTAAAGATCGAAGTGAGTAGTTTTAATGACGGGGTTTCATTTATAACGATGCCAATTAGTTATTTATGTATTTGTACCCCCTCAGCCATACATATTCCAGCAATATAGCGGCCGTCTGTAAATAATCGATTCTGGACCAGACAGTTCAGTGATAAACAGCATGAGCATCCATTTACGTAATTAGGATACGATGACATGTGTCAACCAAGTCAGCGAGCCTGACAACTCAATCCCTTTAGTCGCTTCTTACGACAAGCATGGGTTACTGAAGATCAATTCTAACCCGGATCTTCACGGGTCCCTAACACGGAATAATGACCATCCAGAAACTCACTTCCTTGGTAGCCTCTGTATTTTTTCGATGATTCACAGAGTATTGTAACAAAAATTATTTTTTTTAAAATTCACTGTTGTACTTAACTGTTATGGTTGTGATATCTGTCTTTCAAATACAGAAGTATATAAGTAGGTCAACAACGCTTTATTCGATGTTTGAATATTAGATGACTACAGGAACGGTCAGACAGCATCTCAGAGGCGATCGTCGGCCCACCTGGCTTGCCGCTGTCCGAGGGTCAAGTCTCTACTGACACAAAACATTCTTAATTCATGTTCACTAATAAAAACAGTCCTGAACATAATGTAGAAAAGTCGTAAATTTGTATACTGTGTGAGAAAACTAAAACTTTTCTCTATCACAAAAGTTGTACGACATTATCGATAACAAATATGGATAATCATTAATCATTTTTCCAATCGACCATATTTCCGATTATCGATAATTTTAGCCAGCCGTAGTTAAAACCCTTTTTTCACCCAAATACCTACGATACTGTGTTTACCCGGTGTCTTCTTGATGCCAGATCCGTTGGACTTTTATCCATTTGAGCCTCGTGTAAGCCCTGGTGATTTCTCACTGTGGAGTTGCGTCCCTTAGCTTCCTGATCTGCTAACCGTGGGTTCAGTAACCTGATTTGACCTGATTAAGATTGTAGATTGCCAGTTTCAACTTTTTGTTTCTTGATTTCACTAAAGCGGTAAACAAGGACTGGATTAAAACCAGTCGTCACTCCTAGTTAACTCTAAAACTGGTATAAGTTTGAAAAAAAGTTCCCCTTCTCACCACGGACTCCTCTGTCCTCAGCCAGGGTCAGAGCCAGGGCCACGCCCACGCCCACAACCACTCCTGCATCCACAACAACCACCAGCAGCTGCAGGCGGACCAAGTCATCATCAGCGTCATAGCCGACATGGAGAAAGATGGCGACGGCATTGTGGAGCAGACCGAGGTCGAAAAGGAGTTTGTCGAGAAGTATGACCATGACAGTAAGATATTATCAGTTGTATTATTTACAGATTAAGATCAATAATGCGGCAAAGGGGGTTCGGATGATCCTGGCACAGTCAGGCTGGTTAGGTTCGTCAGTTCAGGGTCCTTGTGAAGATTCGGGTTAGAACTGATCTTCAGTCGTGCTTGTTGCTAGAGGCGACTAACGGGATCGGATGGTCAGGCTCTCTGACTTGGTTGACACATGTCATCGTATGGATCCTATTGGCTCATGATGCTGATGGAATCAGCTGATATCAATGTTTTCATTTTGCACACATTGAAATATAACACTCAATATTAAGCGTTAGCACGAATGCCGAAGTGGACTTTCCGCCATATTGAAGAGTTGATTGGTTGGTTCTTTAATGCCACACTTGTTTCACGGACAGGCTGAATGTCTTCGAATAAATGAGGTATGTTATGAAACGGTATTGAGTTTCTGGGCCTAGATTTTGGAAGCTCTCTTAGCGCTAAGATAGTCGTAAGTTAATGTTAATGAATGGCACTTACGACTATCTTAGCGCTAAGAGAGCTTCGAAAATCTAGGCCCTGAACTGTTGTAGGTCAATGTTGAATATACGTGAGAGTTACGATCACCCCAGAGCTAAGATCACTTTGTACAATGTACATGATGTTTCAGAGAGCGGCGATGTCAGTGAAGATGAGTTTGTAAAACAGTGGCATCAGCAGTACCATGACGCACCTGACTTTGCCGGCTACCTCTTCCACCACTTCGACTCCAACGATGACCACAAACTGTCCGCCATCGACATCGTCAATTTTGTGAAAAGTGCTGATGCTGACGGTGGGTGATGCTTCTTTATTGTCACTTTCAGGTTACTAGGAGGGTCCGGTAAAAATAACTCATCTATTTACTGATGACTAACGGGGCTTTACAAACGCGTGCAGCAGTATGTACAAATATGTACCACAGAGAACGCTTTATACAAAGCGTATATTTAGAACGTATTCTCATTGATCTTTCATCCCACGTACGATACCTCTCTGAAGATCACGTTATAGGTCACGTGAGCTGAACCACCCAATCAAAATCAAGGTTCGCGGGTTATTGAACCAATCGGATGTCACCTTTTTAAAGCAATTCGGCTTCATATCCACTTCAATTCGGAAATTTCGTTTTGTACAAAACCCACACTAAACACAGTAATTCCGTCTTTGATAGTCAGTTTGGGAGGAAACACTTGCTGACAGTTTTAGCAAATGTGGAAACTTTGACCTTGACACTTTCTGAAAAAGATGGATGCATGTTTGCGAGCGAGAGTGTGAGTTGTCTCCCTTCCTGTATAAAGCTTGACAGTAGTTATTTCATTGCAGGAAATGGTCGCGTCTCGATCGCAGAGTTCCAGGCTTTCTTGACCAACGTAAGTCACGTGACAATAAGATCTCCGAGTCATACACATGCATTTGCCCTGATACTTATCTGCCATTTTGTTTTTAGCTCAGACACATCCGGGTGTTACTGAAAGTATTATGATATGATACCACATTCAGTATTCTGGATTTTGATACAAACTTAATACTCATATCGGAACAAACGTTTCTTTTTGTATGTTTTTGTAACTTAGGCAACTAAAATATCATTATAATTACTAAATATCAATTACAAGACGCTGGGTGTTGTTAACATGACGACTGAAGCATGTATCTGAGGAAAGGGCACGTTCACATTCATTCCATTGAGACTGAAGGTGTCCATCAAAATATATTCTTTTCAATGCATTGGAGAGGCTTTGGGGAAACCCAGTGTTTGAAGCATTCATAAACGTATCCTAAAGGGTTCACGCCGAAGACCTGTGTTCGATTCCCCTCATGGGTACAATTTATAAAGCCCATATCTTGTGTCTCCAGCAATATCACGGCAGGGGGACACCGGAAATGGGCTTCACACATTGTACCCATGTGGAGAGTCGAAACCGTTTCTTCGGCGTGAAGAGCGAACTCTTTAACCACTAGGCTACCCCACCGCCCTGTGTTATTCAAAAAACAAATCATGGCCGTTGTGTTCTGAAAAACGGGTTTCGAAGCTTCTCGTTGGTGTATTCTGTTTTTAGAAGAACTGAGATGATTTGGAGATTTTACGTGCGCTTACCGACATAATGCGGAAATGGATTAAGAGACTGGATCCAGATAAAAAAACCGCTCATAGTGTATCGACGTATCGTAACTGTATAGTTGTCATAGGCTTACGAATAGACTGTCCCTGAACCACATTACTTTTCCTAATGTCTAGCCCTCCTAATGCTAAAGCCCTAAATGGAGCAAGTCTAGATTTCCACAGGTTGCCCGAATGTCCGAACTCACTGGGGCTCCTTTTCAATTTAAATGGGTTTATTTCTTCTTTGTCATCTTTCATGACCAACACAATCTCTCACTGTGACTGACTGACAGACTGAGTTTGGTTTTACGCCGCTTTTAGCAATATTCAAGCAACATCACGGCGGGGGACACCAGAAATGGGCTTCACACATTGTACCCATGTGGGGTTTCGAACCCGGGTCTTCGGCGTGACGAGCCAACGCTTTAACCACTATGCTACCCCACCGCCACCTCTCTCACTGTGACACTTTATATGTTTCAGCTCTACGTCAACTGCGTTCCGTCACATTATTCTCACGGCCGTTGAGATGTGCTGTCAAGTAAAACATTATGATGTAAATTGCCATCTTAATTGTTTCCTTTGTCAAAGTGGATCGTGAGGGTCCTACTCGTCGACGGTGTCGGCATTTTTAAGTTTGAAAGTACAATATTGAACACACTTATGGATAACAACTTGTTTTGTTCAATATTGAACGGGACCTGTATATAAACTAACGGACAAAATAAACGATACTAAATCACTGATATTTGAAAACGACAAACCAAAATTGTGAAACATGAAAGAGAATTTTAATAACAGGTGTATGGGCCACATGCATGCTACCCAGTTACATCAGTTTTAAAGGGGTACTGAATACATCTGACGTAGTTTGAGAAGTGGTTATAAACTTCATCCTACACAAGAAGACAAAAAGTAGTCCAACATACACGAAGACAAAAAGTAGTCCAACATACGGAAGACAAAAAGTAGTCCAACATACACGAAGACAAAAAGTAGTCCAACATACGGAAGACAAAAAATAGTCCAATATACGGAAGACAAAAAGTAGTCCAACATACGGATGACAAAAAGTAGTCCAATATACGGAAGAAATAAAGTAGTCCAACATACACGAAGGCAAAAAGTAGTCCAACACACAGAAGATAAAAAGTAGTCCAACATACACGATGACAAAAACTAGTGTAGCATACACGAAGACAAAAAGTAGTCCAACACACAGAATACAAAAAGTAGTCCAACATACACGAAGACAAAAAGAAGTCCAACACACGGAAGACAAAAAGTAGTCCAACATACACGAAGACAAAAAGTAGTCCAACACACAGAATACAAAAAGTAGTCCAACACACGGAAGACAAAACGTAGTCAAACATACACGATGACAAAATGCAGTCCAGCACACATTCGTGACCCACTCGTGTTATTCCGGGACAAGCCGAATAGAGACTCGTGCCCCTTCTGGAAGGATTTCATATTGGCGCATGAACATCAGAACACGGGGGCTTGTATTGCTGAAAATAATATGTCCTGGGTCCTACAAGCGTACACTGATATCCATATACATATAAAGAAGGATGTATATATATGGATATCAGTGTACGCTTGTGGGACCCAGGACGGATTATTTTCAGCAATACAAGCCCCTGTGGTGAATATGAACAGAAATGAAGATATCGAAAAAAACAAACTTTAAAGTAGCACTTGAAAAACTACGAATGGAAGAAATACGTCCAAACCAACGAATTGGGATCATGTCTTACCTGAAGGGAAATGACATGCTGTATTGTTACCAAACTGGGAGTGGTAAATCTTTGACATTTGAAATTGTACCATTTGTTTCACAAAACAAACGAAGCAACAGTAACTGTCGTATCCTAACTCGTAGCACTCATGAAGAGTGAGTGAGTGAGTTTGGTTTTACAATGCATTCAGTAATATTCCATATTTGGCGGCGGTATGTAAATGATCGAGTCTGGACCAGACAATCCAGTGATCAGCAGCATGAGCATCAATCTACGCAACTGGGATTCGATGACATGTGTCAACCAAGTCAGCAAGCCTGACCACCCGATCCCGTTAGTCACCTTCTCATAAAGAACCAAATTGAAAAGGCACAGCATCTCGAAATTAAATCTGTTTACCTTCGAGGCCATTCTCTTCCCACAGAGGTTACTTGTCATATCTTCCTACGTAACCTCTGTTCTAATACGGCCCTTTCATGGTGTGAGCGTTCAAGACTCGTGATTGGAGGTAATCAGATTTAGTTGTGCAATCAGCGACGTTGTTTCAAAAGTGATCATTCGCAAGGCCTCGGTAATTTCCGTATACTTCGAGAAAACTAAACCTCTTCCCCTGCGCGATGCGCAAACGTTTCTTCTAGACAGAACTCAGTCATGTTATGGTGGATCAGTGGTGTCTCCATCGCCCTCGTTGAAAACGAACAAGCTAGCCATTAAACGTCTTGTGTGTAACATCAACACACGTCCCCGGTAGATGGGGATATTTGTGGCCTCACATTTGCTTGTGTTAGTCAAGTTGAATCTAAGTCGATGTAACACGTGTTCTGATTGGATAGAAAGAAGGGAGATAATTCGTGTTGCGATCTTTTGCCGCTAGGGGATTTTACGAGAACCGGGAAATATGGCCGTATTAGAACAGAGGTTACGTAGGAAAATATGACAAGTAACCTCTGTGGGAAGAGAATGCTTCGAGGCATGCAAGGTGAAATCTAGTGAGGATGATCTAGTATCTAGAAATACCCAGAACATCTTCAAGCATAAGACAGACGCTGGTCTTTTCACTTCAATTGAACAGTTTGTTTAAAAAGGGGTTTATCTATATCCTCTTCGCATATTATACAAATGGAAACTTGAATTTGGAGATAAGTTCAATCAAATTCATAAATATTTCTGTTGGTGTTCCAGATAGATCTTGCACTTTGGTCATCTAGTCTCCAAGTCACATTGTGGGCTGCAAGTTTCCCAACTGCAAAATGTTAGGCAGCCCGAGGGCCAATAAATATGCCTGTCACTTATAGCGTTATCTGATGGTTGTATGATGTGACTTCTAATTGGTAATAACCCCAGCACGTGTAGCCCCAATGCAGATGTTCTTATTTTCTGAATCTCTGGTCTCCCTAGGGCATCTTTTCAATTTAAATGGGCTTGTTTGTTACTATCAAACTTATATACATTCAGAGACTAAGCATTAGTCTAGATAAATGTTTTCAACTGGATCTAAAGAAACACTGTGCAGTCTGCGACAGGCGCAGATGCTTGTGTGCATAGAAATTTCTTTTTGAAATAACACTCCTTGGAATGTGTGCGTCCTAGTTCACTGCTTATATGAGAAGCAGCGTTTATAGACTGAAGTTACTCTCAGACAGACATCCTTGAGGAACACTAGCTGTACTCTGGTCAAGGTAGTTGACGTTTCCATGGCGTTCGTAATGCGGATTTACACTGTTCTTGTCGAAACCTCACCTGGTTAGATATTCATTTAAGGCCGACTTTAACAGTTTATGCGACAAAATTGCCTTTTGTGACATACAAGCTTGGCTGTTGCCCTATCTAACAGGTATGCCAAACCTTTCATAAAAGGTGCTTTGTCAAGCAGGGCGGTGGGTTAGCCTAGTGGTTTAAAGCGTTCGCTCGTCACGTCGAAGACCTGGGTTCAATTCATTACATGGGTACAGTCAACCCTTTATCGCGCAATCGGGTAACAGAGAACCATGTATTTTCTTCATTTTTCCCCTTAGATTGGCGATTGTCTAGCCTAGCGTTCTGTCGTTATAACGAAGACCCGGGTCCAATTACCAACGTGGATTAATGTGCGAAGCCCATTTCTGGTGTCCCCCGTCGTGATATTGCTGGAATATTGCTAAAAGCGGAGTAAAACTAAACTCGCTCGCTTTGTCAAGACACTTTTATAATGGGCGCCGTCACACTCTCCCCATAGGGTGCACTGGTGTTATTAATCGCCAGTACTTGTTGTCTGAACTAAAACTGTCCTATTTGATTTTCAGAACCATGATAGCTTTCCTTGTTTTAATCGGATCTGTGGCAGTTTACGGGTGAGTGGTGTGTGTGTCTATATCGGATAGGTTTATATGTAGATGGTATAAACTAGTATATCTGACCAGATGTGTGTTATGTGTTGGTGCTAGGAGTACAATATTTGATTGCAGTGTTTGTTTATTTGTTGTTTAACGCCGCCCTCAGCCATACATATTCCAGCAATATAGCGGCCGTCTGTAAATAATCGAGTCTGGACCAGACAGTTCAGTGATACACAGCGTGAGCATCCATTTACGAAATTAGGATACGATGACATGTGTCAACCAAGTCAGCGAGCCTGATCACTCAATCCCTTTAGTCGCTTCTTACGACAAGCATGGGTTACTGAAGATCAAGTCTAACCCGGATCTTCACGGGTCCCTAACACGGAATATTGGCCATCCAGAAACTCACTTCCTTGGTAGCTTCTGTATTTTTTCGATGATTCACAGAGTATTTCAATTTTATTTATTATTTTAAATTCACTGTTGTACTTGACTGTTATGGGTGTGATATCCGTCTTTCAAATACAGAAGTATATAAGTAGGTCAACAACGCTTTATTCGATGTTTGAATATTAGATGACTACAGGAACGGTCAGACAGCATCTCAGAGGCGATCGTCGGCCTACCTGGCTTGCCGCTGTCCGAGGGTCAAGTCTGTACTGACACAAAACATTCTTATTTCATGTTCACTGTCAGGCAGCCTGGTGTACGCGAAGCACGCGCACAAGTCCAGACAAAGTCATTGATTCATTTACCTGTGCTGTGCCGGTTCCATCCTTTCTCGCACACCTGGCTGTTCTCTTTGCACTCCTCCCTCGAAAGAAATAGTGAACTGTGTCAAAATTTTAATGAGAGTTTGTTAAACAACTTTTTTATTTTTAGGTCATAAATTCTGCAAAAAACTCATATAGTTGGTCTGATGTTTTAATTATGATCAGCGTTCCATTTAAAATTATATATATATTAGTTTTCGAGTTAGATTGCAATTCATCGGTCCAATTTTGAGCCAAACGGACTATAGTATTGTATTACGCAACATGTATGGATATGTACCTCATCCACAATGCTAAGCTTCCGTGACTAACCAGCCATACTCTAATGTTACATATACACGCAGCTGTATTGACGGCACTGTAGAGTGAGTGAGTGCGTTGTGTTTTACGCCGCTTTTAGCAACAGTCCAGCAGTGACAGCGCTGTAAAGATTCCGATACACAACATTTATTTGAATTCAGGGAATATATAAACATAAATAGACTCCCTGTTAAAACTAGGGCTGGCAATCAGTATATATCACAGAGATTGATAATCGTTAACTAGATATCGATCGATTATCGATAAATATCGGAGACGCCAATATGTCTGCAGAAATGCATATATTTCCCACCACTCGTGAGTGGTGACGTGTTTCGGCATGGATTAATAACAAAACAGCGTCCTGAACATAATGTAGTGAGTGAGTGAGTGAGTGAGTGAGTATGGTTTTACGTCGCTTTAGCAATTTTCCAGCAATATCACGGCGGGGGACACCAGAAATGGGCTTCACACATTGTACCCATGTGGGGAATCGAACCCGGGTCTTCGGCATGACGAGCCAACGCTTTAACCACTAGGCTACCCCACCGCCCCTGAACATAATGTAGAAAAGTCTTAAATTTGTATACTGTGTGAGAAAACTCAAACTTTTTTCTATCGCAAAAGTTAATGTACGACATTATCGATAACAAATATGGATAATCATTAATCATTTTTCCAATCGACCATATTTCCGATTATCGATAATTTTAGCCAGTCGTAGTTAAAACCCTTTTTCACCCAAATACCTACGATACTGTGTTTACCAGGTGTCTTATTGATGCCTGATCCGTTGGACTTTTATCAATTTGATCCTCGTGTAAGCCCTGGTGATTTCTCACTGTGGAGTTGCGTCTCTTAGCTTCATCATCTGCTAACCGTGGGTTCAGTTACCTGATTTGACCTGATTAAGACTGTAGATTGCCATTATCAAACTTTTTGTTTCTTGATTTCACCAAAGTGGTAAACAAGGACTGGATCAAAACCAGTCGTCGCTCCTAGTTAACTGTAAAACTGGTATAAGTTGAAAAAAACCCTTCTCACCACGGACTCCTCTGTCCTCAGCCAGGGTCAGAGCCAGGGCCACGCCCACGCCCACGCCCACAACCACTCCTGCATCCACAACAACCACCAGCAGCTGCAGGCGGACCAAGTCATCATCAGCATCATCGCCGACATGGAGAAAGATGGCGACGGCATTGTGGAACAGACCGAGGTTGAAAAGGAGTTTGTCGAGAAGTATGACCATGACAGTAAGATATTATCAGTTGTATTATTTACAGATTAAGATCAATAATGCGGCAAAGGGGGTTCGGATGATCCTGGCACAGTCAGACTGGTTAGGTTCGTCAGCTCAAGGTTCTTGTGAAGATTCGGGTTAGAACTGATCTTCAGTCGTGCTTGTTGCTAGAGGCGACTAACGGGATCGGATGGTCAGGCTCTCTGACTTGGTTGACCAAACCGAAACATGAGTCTCATTAACCTATTCAGACAATGACCTACTTTTCAGCCGATCCGAATTTTTCGTGTGAAAGTGAAAATAGACATCACAAACAACTATGGTTACACTGAATTCCAATTCCTTGTTTCATAAGAAAATGGTATTTACATGTGAATTTTAATTTTAAACTTTAATAACATCGTATTTCTATATTTTATGGCGAGGTGTAAGCAGCATGACCTTAACTAAGACGTCACAGACTGTTCCCGTTTGATGAGGTCGTAAAATGATTCACAATGCATCTGGCTCACTGGTTACATGTGTTTTTAGCGCTTATTCAGTATAGTTCTGTAACGCACAATGTGATTGATATAATATCAAGTCCGTACCAAACCGCCAAACTTTTCTAGCGGCAGAGCCTCGTTTTGAGATTTCCACGATTTCCAGGTATCTGTTTGTCAGTGCTCGCCGTACGACAGAGCACGCTGCACGACATGTTTGCGAGGATTATTTAAGGAGCGTAGTGTTGCTTGTTAGATGTCTCAAATAATACTGATTAATATTTTTGTATCAAGTTAAATGAATTGGTCTCAAAATTCTGGACTGGTTATTGTACTAAGATGCGCAATAGGATGGAACCCAGTCGGCAGGAAACAAGACTGTTGTGTAATCTATGTTTTGACTTGCATGTCATCGTATGGATCCTATTGGCTCATGATGCTGATGGAATCAGCTGATATTAATGTTTTCATTTTGCACACATTGAAATATAACGCTCAATATTAAGCGTTAACACAAATGCCGAAGTGGACTTTCCGTCATATTGAAGAGTTGATTGATTGGTTCTTTAACGCCACACTTGTTTCACGGACAAGCTGAATGTCTTCGAATAAATGAGGTATATTATGAAACGATATTGAGTTTCTGGGCCTAGATTTTCGAAGCTCTCTTAGCGCTAAGATAGTCGTAAGTTAATGTTAATGAATGTCACTTACGACTATCTTAGCACTAAGAGAGCTTCGAAAATCTAGGCCCTGAACTGTTGTAGGTCAATGTTGAATATACGTGAGAGTTACGATCACCCCAGAGCTAAGATCACTTTGTACAATGTACATGATGTTTCAGAGAGCGGCGATGTCAGTGAAGATGAGTTTGTAAAACAGTGGCATCAGCAGTACCATGACGCACCTGACTTTGCCGGCTACCTCTTCCACCACTTCGACTCCAACAGTGACCACAAACTGTCCACCATCGACATCGTCAATTTTGTGAAAAGTGCTGATGCTGACGGTGGGTGATGCTCCTTTATTGTCACTTTCAGGTTACTAGGAGGGTCTGGTAAATATAACTCATCTATTTACTGATGACTAACGGGGCTTTACAAACGCGTGCAGCAGTATGTACAAATATGTACCACAGAGAACGCTTTATACGATGCCATATCTTTAGAACGTATTCTCATTGATCTTTCATCCCACACGAAACCTCTCTGAAGATCACGTAATAGGTCACGTGAGCTGAACAGCCCAATCAAAATCAAGGTTCGCGGGTTATTGAACCAATCGGATGTCAGCCTTTTAAAGCAATACGGCTTCATATCCACTTCAATTCGGAAATTTCGTTTTGTACAAGCCCACTCTAAAGACAGTAATTCCGTCTTTGATAGTCAGTTTGGGAGGAAACACTTGCTGACAGTTTTAGCAAATGTGGAAACTTTGACCTTGACACTTTCTCGAAAAAGATGGATGCATGTTTGCGAGCGAGTGTGTGAGTTATCTCCCTTCCTGTATAAAGCTTGACAATAGTTATTTTATTGCAGGAAATGGACGCGTCTCGATCGCAGAGTTCCAGGCTTTCTTGACAAACGTAAGTCACGTGACAATAAGATCTCCGAGTCATACACATGCATTTGCCCTGATACTTATCAGCCATTTTGTTTTTACCTCATACACATCCGGGTGTTACTGAAAGTATTAATATGATACCACATTCAGTATTCTAGATTATGATACAAACTTAATACCCATATCGTAACAAACGTTTCTTTTTGTATGTTTTTGTAACTTAGGTAACTAAAACGTCATTTATAATTACTAGATATCAATTACAAGACGCTGGGTGTTGTTGACATGACGACTGAAGCATGTATCTGAGGAAAGGGCACGTTCACATTCATTCCATTGAGACTGAAGGTGTCCATCAAAATATATTCTTTTCAATGCATTGGAGAGGCTTTGGGAAACCCAGTGTTTGAAGCGTTCATAAACTTATCCTAAAGCGTTCACGCCGAAGACCTATGTCCGATTCCCCTCATGGGTACAATGTATGAAGCCCATATCTTGTGTCTCCAGCAATATCACGGCGGGTGACACCGGAAATGGGCTTCACACATTGTACCCATGTGGAGAGTCGAACCCGTTTCTTCTTTAACCACTAGCTATAGGCTACCCCACCGCACTGTGTTATTGAAAACCACGTCATGGCCGTTGCGTTCTCAAAGACGGGTTTCGAAGCTTCTCGTTGGTGTATTACCTGTTTCATTAAGAACTGAGATGATTTGGAGATTTTACGTGCGCTTACCGACATAATGCGGAAATGGATTAAGAGACAGGATCCAGATAAAAGAAAAACGTTCGTAGTGTATCGACGTATCGTAACTGTATAGTTGTCATAGGCTTACGAATAGACTGTCCCTGAACCACATTATTTTTCCTAATGCCTAGCCCTCCTAATGCTAAAGCCCTAAATGGTGCAAGTCTTGATTTCCACAGGTTGCCCGAATCTCCGAACTCACTGGGGCTCCTTTTCAATTTTAATGGGTTTATTTCTTCTGTGTCATCTTTCTAGACCAACACACAGTTAATCTCTCATTGTGACTGACTGACTGAGTGAGTTTGGTTTTACGCCGCTTTTAGCAATATTCCAGCAACTTCACGGCGGGGACACCAGAAATGGGCTTCACACATTGTACCCATGTGGGGATTCGAACCCGGGTCTTCGGCGTGACGAGCCAACGCTTTAACCACTAGGCTACCCCACCGACCCCTCTCTCACTGTGACACTTTGTATGTTTCAGCTGTACCTCAACTGCGTTCCGTCACATTTTTCTCACGGCCGTTGAGATTTGCTGTCAAGTAAAACATTACGATGTACATTGCCATCTTAATTGTTTCCTTTGTCAAAGTGGATCGTGAGGGTCCAACTCGTCGACGGTGTCGGCATTTTATAAGTTTGAAAGTACAATATTGAACACACTTATGGATAACAACTTGTTTTGTTCAATATTGAACGGGACCTGTATATAAACTAACGGACAAAAAAAACGATACTAAATCACTGATATTTGAAAACGACTAACCACCATTGTGAAACATGAAAGAGAATTTTAATAACAGGTGTATGGGCCACATGCATGCTACCCAGTTACATCAGTTTTAAAGGGTTACTGAGAAGTTTGAGAAAGTGGTTATACACTTCATCCTACACAAGAAGACAAAAAGTAGTCCAACATACGGAACACAAAAAGTAATCCAACATACGGAAGACAAAAAGTAGTCCAATATACACGAAGACAAAAAATAGTCCAGCATGCGGAAGGCAAAAAGTAGTCCAACATACAGAAGACAAAAAGTAGTCCAACATACGGAAGAGAAAATGTAGTCCAACATACACGAAGACAAAAAGTAGTCCAACATACGGAAGACAAAAAGTAGTCCAACATACGGAAGAGAAAAAGTAGTACAACATACACGAAGACAAAAAGTAGTCCAACATACGGAAGACAAAAAGTAGTCCAACATACGGAAGAGAAAAAGTAGTCCAACATACGGAAGACAAAAAAAGTAGTCCAACATACACGAAGACAAAAAGTAGTCCAACATACGGAAGAGAAAAAGTAGTCCAACATACACGAAGACAAAAAGTAGTCCAACATACGGAAGACAAAAAGTAGTCCAACATACGGAAGAGAAAAAGTAGTCCAACATACACGAAGACAAAAAGTAGTCCAACATACGGAAGAGAAAATGTAGTCCAACATACACGAAGACAAAAAGTAGTCCAACATACGGAAGACAAAAAGTAGTCCAACATACGGAAGACAAAAAGTAGTCCAATATACACGAAGACAAAAAATAGTCAAGCATGCGGAAGGCAAAAAGTAGTCCAATATACACGAAGACAAAAAATAGTCAAGCATGCGGAAGGCAAAAAGTAGTCCAACATACGGAAGACAAAAAGTAGTCCAACATACGGAAGACAAAAAGTAGTCCAACATACGGAAGAGAAAAAGTAGTCCAACATACACGAAGACAAAAAGTAGTCCAACATATCATGACAAAAAGTAGTCCAACATACGGAAGACAAAAAGTAGTCCAACATACACGAAGACAAAAAGTAGTCCAACATACATCATGACAAAACGTAGTCAAACACGCTGAAAAGTAGTCTAACATACACGGAGACAAAAGTGGTCAAGCACACTGAAAGGTAGTCCAACGTAAAAAAGACAAAAAGTAGTCCAACATACAGAAGACAAAAAGTAGTTCAACACACTGAAAAGTAGTCCAACGTACAGAAGACAAAAAGTAGTCCAACACACAGAAGACAAAAAGTAGTCTAACATACAGGAAGACAAAAAGTAGTCCAACACACAGAAGACAAAAAGTAGTCTAACATACAGGAAGACAAAAAGTAGTCCAACACACAGAAGACAAAAAGTAGTCCAACATACTCGAAGACAAAAGTAGTCCAACACAGAGAAGACAAACAATAGTCCAACATACACGATACCAAAGCCTGGCTGGGATCACAGAGACCCCTCAGATTATCGCCCTATATCGTTACACGGTGGGTTTGTAAAACCATGGAACGCATAGTGAACAATAGATTAGTTTGGTATTTGGAAACCAACAATCTAATTGCAGATATTCAATGTACTATTGATCATTTAGTACGATTAGAATCCTATGTTGATACTGCCATTGTTAATAAACAACACGTAGTATCAATTTTCTTTGATCTGGAGAAAGCATATGATACTACTTGGAAGTACGGCATTTTGAAGGATTTACATGATTTCGGATTGAGAGGTCGTTTACCTCGTTTCATCTCACAATTTTTAACAAACAGGCAATTTCAAGTCCGAGTGGGTTCAACCCTGTTTGACCATTACAATTAGGATCAGGGTGTCCCACAAGGCAGTATTTTGTCTGCAACATTATTTAGTATTGAAATAAACAGCCTGTCAATGGTTTTAAATGATTCAGTTGATGGATCACTTTTCGTGGATGATTTTAATGTTTCTTGAGGTGGTAAAAATATGCATACAATAGAGAGGCAACTACAACTATGTCTCAATAAAATTCATAAATGGTCAATTGAAAACGGTTTTAAATTTTCTAAATCCAAAACAAATTGTATACATATTTGTAGAAAATATAAACCGCATGAAGACCCAGAACTATTTTTCAATGGCACACCCATCAAGGTTGTAAAAGAGGTCAAGTTCTTGGGACTTATTTTTGACTCTCATCTGACTTTCTTACCACATATTAAATATTTAAGAAATAAATGCCTGAAGGCACTCGACTTGTTGAAAGTTGTGTCAAATTCAAAGTGGGGAGGGGATCAAGCTACCCTCTTACATCTATATCGATCACTGGTCCGTTCCAAACTTGATTATGGCTCCATCGTGTATGATGGAGCCTGTACAAGCAACCTTAAACTTCTTGATTCTGTCCACCACCAAGGCCTGAGACTTTGCCTTGGATTCTTTAGAACTTCTCCTATTGACAGTCTCTACGTTGAGGCAGATGAGCCATCTCTTGCACAACGCCGTATAAAACTATCTTTACAATATATTACAAAACTGTACTCTAACAAATCTAACCCTGCATATAACTGTGTCTTCACTCCCCTCTATGAGGATTTATACAACAAGAAATCGTCCCTTATTCTGCCTCTTTTGTATCCCTTGTGATGAGAGAACCACGGTCAAGCATGTCCTGCTTGACTGTGTTGAATTCTCCATCATAAGGGATACATATTTCAATGTAAACACAATGAAGGATCTCTTTACCACTTTTAATTTTTATCTAATTATTGGTTTCTTTAAAGAAATTGATTTATTTGATGAATTCTGATTAATGTGTTTCGTAAATAGCTATATTTTAAAGACTAGTAATTTAGATTAGTAACTTAGATTGTTCGTGGCTGTACCCTCAAAGGGGGTTAAAGTACTGTAAAATTATTGTCCTTCTGAGAGGGTACGTAAGTCCCAAAACTTTCAAAGTAAAATGTAATTGACCATATTTTGAACGTAGCATCTTTGTTTTTTTAACTGCCGGCTACATTTTCCTGCAATCGGCAGCGGCTGAAGGGATGGTGTAAATCCAGCTAGGGTCCATGCAGGTAGCAAAGGTAATGTAAGTCCCCATGGTTCCTAGTATGGTGATCTACCTTCAGTTGTTGGCGATCTATAGCCGGTGTTTTATACTGTATTGTCTTCTTTAATTGGAATGTTTTAGCTTTGTTCGCTAGTTTTATATTCATATCTGTGATTCTCTAGTACTTTTACTGTCCATCATCGACAGATTTTAATCTTCAAAATGTTTTCTCTTTTTATCGTATAAATTGTTTTCGTCACGATATGGCTGAGATATTGCCGATGTGACGTTAAATATTAACTCACTCACTCACTCCTATGCAACACCAGCATTTCGTCCTGCTTCCAGCAGAAAATCACCACCGTTTGCGCTTGCTTACTGACAAGTCGCCTCTGAGCCACTGCCGAGACTCAAGCTGGTTTGCCTGTGCAAGCCACCGTTTCACCACCATCGCCTTTACTCTAAGGGTCGCCCTTTCACCCACTATGCAACACCAACATTTGAGCTTGCTTCCAGCAAAGTCGCCTTTGAGCCACCTGTCAAGACTCAATCTGTTTCAGTTCTGCTACACCATGGCTATCTGTACATCGAACATCTTCGGGAGAACGAATGATGAATAGCATGAGCAACGTCGCGCGCCTTTACACAAGCTAAGCACCAAGTCAACCAAGTGCTTGATCATGGTGGAGGTCGGAATTATCCCTCTATGCACTACCTCGTGTCTTCCATCTGTCCGACCTCCGTGGGCAGACGTGGAGGGCAGCGTCGCAATTTTCACATCGCCGTGCCCGTCGCATCGTCGTGCCGGGGAACAAAGGCACATTTCCGAGTCAGTGGCCAACCTGGCTCCTTTCCCCGAATAAAGAATACGCCGTTTTGCATACACCTCCGCCATTGAATGGGCTTTCTGGCAATATAAGCCAATTTGACTTCTGACTGTGGAAACAAAAGTTATATAGGATTTTCTGCAGAAGTATAGCAAAAAATGACGATTTTTTTTCAAACAAATTGTGCAATATATTTTTAAATGTTCAGGATAGATCAAATCTGCGTTAACCACCGTCATCGACGTTAAAAGAGCTTTGCAGATAGGTATAACGGATTTAGAAGCAAACAAAGACGCGATAAGGCATTGCCTGAACAAAGGCGCATTTGAAAGGCCGCCGACACAAGAAGCGGCGGTATAAATTGACGTGTGTAACGTCTCAGCACAACATCGCACATGTCCGTGTTATGCGTCGTTAGAAGCGTACTTTCGAGGGCTTTTGACTGCATTAGACATATGGAAAATCGGAGCATGGACATAGAAATTATAGCCGAAGTGAACATCCACTGATGGCGGAGGTGACACGGACGCCAGAAGCGGCGGCATTTTCAGATGTGTGTAGCACCTTTGCAAAATGTCGCACATGTACGTGTTATGCGTCGTTAGAAGGGCATTTTAAAGGGCTTTCAAATGCATTAAGAAATGAAGGATCGAACGACGGGTATAGAAATTATAGCCGAACACTACATCCGCTGATTGCGGAGGCATCGGACACAGGAGCGGCATTTTCAGATGTGTGTAGCACCTTTGCAAAATATTGCACATGTACGCGTTATACGTCGTTAGAAGCGCATTTTAAAGGGCTTTCCGATACACTAAAAGTATACATATTGACACTACAGGTATTGTTGTTATGGTTAGATTCCAAATTATTGTAATTTTTAGTTCTGGCGAAGTGTAGGCAGCATAACCTTAACTAAGACGTCACAGACTGTCCCCGTTAGATGACGTCGTAAAATGATTCACAATGCATCTGGCTTACTGGTTAAACCAGTTATGTGATTTTGCGCTTATTCAGTATAGTTCTGTAACGCACAATGTGATTGATATAATATCAAGTCCGTACCAGACCGCCAAACTTTTCTAGCGGCAGAGCCTCGTTTTGAGATTTCCACGATTTCCAGG